CATTTTACTCCTTTGCTCAATAGTGAGTCCCCTAAGGGCCTTTTTTTTTTTTTTTTTAAATTGTTGTAGTTTAAGTGAAAGTTTACAATTCAAGTCAGTCTCTCATACAAAAATTTATACATACACTGTTATGTGACCCCAGTTGCTTTCCCTATACTGCGACAGCACACTCCTCCTTTCCACCCCTGATTTCCCACATCCATTCAACTAGCTCCTAACCCTCTCTGCTTTCTCATCTCACCTCTGGACAGAAGCTGCCCATTTAGTCTCATGCATCTACTTGAGCTAAGAGGCACACTCTACACGAGTATCATTTTATGTCCCACAGTCCAGTCCAATCTTTGAAGAGTTGGCCTTGGGACTTGTTTTAGTTCTGGGTTGAAAGACAGGCTGGGGGCCATGCTTTCTGGGGTTCCTCTGGTCTCAGTCAGACCATTAAGTCTGCAGAATTTGAGTTCTGCACCCCACTTTTCTCCTGCTCCATCAGGGGCTCTGTTGTGTTCCCTGTCAGGGCGGTCATTGGTGGTAGCTGGCCACCACCTAGTTCTTCTGGTCTCAGGCTGATGAAGTCTCTGGTTTATGTAGCCCTTTCTGTCTCTTGGGCTCTTTCCTTGGGTCTTTGGTGTTCTTCATTCTCCTTTATTCTAGGTGGTTGGGACCAATTGATGCATCTTAGATGGCTGCTTGCTAGTTTTTAAGACCCCAGACACCACTCACCAAATGCAGAACATTTTCTTAATAAACTTTGTTATGCCAATTGACCTAAATGTCCCCTGAAAGCATAGTCCCCAGACCGCTGCCACTGCTACTCTGTCCCTCGAAGTGTTTGATTGTATTCTGGAAACTTCTTAGCTTTGATTTAGTCCACCTAAAGACCATTTTAAAGAAACTCTGTAACAGAAATTTTTGATGAAACAAAATCAGAGATTAACATCCTCCACCACAACTCACAAAGAAATCTCAAATCAAATCCTTGTAAGATTTAAAGGAAGGGCTTGGATGTGATATCCAGGTCCCATTCATCTCTTGTCCTTATCCCTCACCTTACTTAGCCAGAGCTCTGCAACTCTACAGGGTAAACATTTGTTGAAGTAGTAACTTCAAGATGATGGAGCCATCAGGGCTTTCAGTAACCTTTTTCCACCTTCACTTTCCTTACAGTAGTTATTACAATCATTTTTATGGCCATTTCTTTTCAGATGCATTTCAGTATTAATGATATCACGAGAAAATGGGAAATATATTTCAACTTCTAGATTTTAAAACAGTTCGGATATTATTTTGCCATTTGTAGGAGGCTAATTCCCAATGAAAGCTGTGCTAATAAAAGCATCATTACGTTCCACGATTTAAACCTCGGATCCTCACCCAGCTCTTGGCTAAGGGTATGCGTGGAAGCGATGAATACAGGAGGATCAGCAATCAGATTACCTGGGTTGAAAAACCCGGCTCCACCACTCCTAGGACCACCCAGGTGCAGATTATCCAATAGGCAAGGTAAGCACAGCGGTTACCTTGCTTACCAGCTACCTCATCAGTAGTGAGCAATTTCACGTGTTTCACCACATGAAACACATGTGAAATTGTCTACTGCAGATTAGTAAGTAAGCACAAGTAAGCCCGTGCTTACTGTTTACCGGGTCATCTGCCCCTGTCAAGGGTTGTAAATGTGAAGAGTGGCTTTGATTCTGGAAAGGTGCTGTGGAGTTGGGAGAGAGACAGATGTCAGTCATACCTAGAAGCACAGTCTTTGATGTGGTGAAAAAATGTAAAACTGTTCACTACAGATGATCTGGTAAACGAGGTAAGCACCGTGCTTACCTTGCCTGTTGGATAATCCGCCCCTGCGACCACCTGTATGCACTTAAGTCACTCAGTCTGGATTTCCGGAGGTAGCCTGGGGGACGTGAACAGGACACCGCAAAGCTGCAGTGAGAAAAAAGCAGGTAATGAGAAGTAATTGGCACTGAACTCAGCACACAAAGCAAAAGCTCACTATTCTTCACGTTGAGGAAGGTGTTGGGCGACCTGAGTCACGTGACTTCCCTACACTCTCGCGAGGAGGCGTGTGACGTCATGTGTGCGTGCGGGCGATCCATCGTCCCCCAGAGCCGCTGGTTGGGCAGTGCTGTTGAGTACTGTGGTCTCTTCCGTTTCGGAGTGCCTGGTTGGATGTTGGCCGCTCGGTCTTAACGGGGATGTCATTGAAAAAGAAAAGCCGCGGGTGATGGCTCTGTCTCGTCCTGGGACCCCTTCCTGATCTCCCCGCCGCCCGGGGCCATGTGGGTGCTCGCTGTCCGGGGCTGGCGGCGCGGACGCGCGCTTGTGCGGTGGGCCCCCGGGGCTGTGTGTCTGGGGCTGCCATGGCCGCGTTGCGCCGCGACCCGCGGGGCTGCTGCCGAGCCCTGGGCTCTAGCCAGGCTCTACAGCTCCGGAGACCGCAAGGTGACCGCCCTTTAGTCTCTTATCGTTACATTTGGGAATGTGAAGGGCTTACTCGGACTCGGCAGTGATCGCAGCTTGCGATTCTATAGGGGGAGGCAGAGCAGAGAGCGCGGGCCCCGCTCACTAGTGTGACCTTAGGCAAGTAACTTCGTACATTTAAGTTGTAATGGCAATAACCAACTCATTGTTTTGGCGAGGCTCTGGTCGAAGTGTTTGTATGTATGAACTTAATTCTCCTAAAAGCCTACTGAGGAAGCTGCTAGTATAATCTCCATTTTCTTGCAATTTATTGGCCGTGTGATATGGACATGAACTTTTTTGTGACTCTTTTTCATCATCTGTTAAGTGGGATGCTGATGAAGCATCGGACGCTTATTTGTAAGGATTACATGGTGTAAGGCAGGAGACTTTTTAGTCTAATACCTAGAATACAAAAAGTGTTGGTTGTGTGTTAGCTTCTGTGTTTTATTATTTCATTTTACCCTAGCCGAAGTAAACCTGGGTAATTTTGACTCTTTGTTCTTGTGGTTGGGCAAAGCAGGGGGTTGGCACCTCTAAAAACTATGCTCTGATAAGAGAGAGAGTTGAGGGGAAAAAAGTGAAGTAACTGAATGCAAGTTATGAGAAACTGGAAAAAATAAGACCTTATGTATAATTAAGCACTGTTGGCCTTTTCTAAAATGGCTGTGGAATTTAGAATGAGTTTATATTGCAATTCAAATTTCCCCTAAAAAGTGATGCAGTCCTTTCATACCCTTTGAATTGAATTGGGGGTGTGGGGGACGGGGTGGGTTGTGATCCACCAGGTAAACAAATCAAAATTCGTTTTTTGGCAGAATTTCTTTCTAATATAGTTGCACCTTTATTGTCTGCCCTGTATTGGAGCACTTATAAAAAGGAAACTTGAAGCTCATGTGGATTTTCTATTTCATAATTTCACAGGTTTTGCCGATTATGATTGTTGTTGTTGTTAGGTGCCATCAAGGCGGTTCTGACTCATAGCAACCCTGTGTATAACAGAATGAAACACTGCCGGGTCCTGTGCCATCCTCACAATCGTTATTATGCTTGAGCCTATTCTTGCAGCCACTGTGTCCATCACATTGCGGGTCTTCCTCTTTTTCATTGACTCTCTACTCTACCAAGTATGATGTTCTTCTCCAGGGAGTGGTCCCTCCTGATAACATGTCTGAAGTATGTGAGACAAGGTCTCACCATCCTCACTTCTAATGAGCATTCTGTCTGTACTTCTTCCAAGACAGATTTGTTCATTCTTTTGGAAGTCCATGGTATTATATTCAGTATTCTTTGTCAAAACCATAATTCAAAGGCTTCAATTCTTTGATCTGGTCTTCATTATTCATTGTCCAGCTTTCGCATGCATATGAGGCAATTGAAAACACCATGCCTTGAGTCAAGCATACCATAGTGCTTAAAGTGATATCTTTGCTTTTCAACACTTTAAAGAGGTCTTTTGCAGCAGATTTGCCCAGTGCAATGCGTCTTTTGATTTCTTGACTGCTGCTTCCATAGTTGTTGATTGTGGATCCAAGTAAAATGAAATCCTTGACAACGTCAATCTTTTCTCCATTTATAATGATGTTGCTTATTGATCCAGTTGTGAGGATTTTTGTTTTCTTTATGTTGAGGTGTAATCCGTACTAAAGGCTGTGGTCTTTGATCTTTGTCAGTAAGTGCTTCAAGTCCTCTTCAACTTTCAGCAAGCAAAGTTGTGTCATCTACACACAGGTTGTTAATGAGCGTCTTAGGCTAGGTTTTCTAGAGAAGCAAAACTAGTAAAGTGTATAAATACATATGTATAGAGAGAGATTTATATTAAGGAAATAGCTCACGCAATTGTAGAGGCTAAAACGTCCCAAGTCCATAGATCAGGGTAGAGGCCTCTCCCAATTCACGGAGCCACAGAAGCTGGTGAACCCAAGGTCGGCAGGTCCGAGAGGGGCTCCCACTCACAGGCTGTGAGGGTCAGTGAATTCCAAGATCAGCAGACAAGACGGCAACGTTTCTCCTGATTCATGTAGCTGCAGGGGCTGGCAAACCCAAGGTCAGCAGGTCAGGAAACCGGACTCTTGCTCGCAGGCTGAGAAGTTCGATGAATCCAAGATCAACAGGTAAGCTGCTAGCTCAAGTTCCAAGAACCGGAGGTGAGACAACAAGAGGCAGCTGCTGAGCCTGGAACAAGCCAAAAACCTCGGCAAGGTGAGCAGGCAGAAAGTAACCGGCAGAAAGCAGAGAGATGAAACTGAGGGGGCGGTGAGCTGCCACAGGCCCCGCCTCCGCCAGTACCACTCAGCAGATTTCCATCATGGGGGTGATCACAACATTATACAACTGCTAAAACACTGAGAATACTGCCGTAGCTAAGTTGACATACAATTTGAACCATCACAATGAATCTTCCTCCAATCCTGATGCCCCCTTCTTCATATAGTCCAGCTTCTTGGATTATTTGCTCAGCATACAGATTAAATAAGTATGGTGAAAGGATACAACCCTGACACACACCTTTCCTGACTTTAAACCATGCAGTATCCCTTTGTTCTGCTCAAATGACTGCCTCTTGGTCTAAGTGCAGGTTCTTTATGAGCACAATTGAGTGTTCTGGAATTCCCATTCTTCGTAATGTTACTTATACTTTGTTAGGATCCATATAGTTGAATGCCTTTGCATAGTCAATAAAACATAAATAAACATCTTTCTGGTATTCTTTGCTTTCAGCCATGATCCATCTGACATCTGCAGCGATATCCCTCGTTCTATGTCCTCTTCTGAATCCGGCTTGAATTTCTGGCAGTTCCCTGTCGATGTACAGCAGCAACCACCTTGAATGGTCTTCATCAAAATTTTAATCGTGTGTGATATTAATGATATTGTTCAGTAATTTCTACATTCTGTTGGATCACCTTTCTTTGGAATGGGTACAAATCTGGATCTCTTCCAGTTGGTTGGCCAGGTAGCTGTCTTCCAAATTTCTTGGCACAGACAAGTGAGGGCTTCCAGTGCTGCATCCGTTTGCTGAAACATCTCAGTTGGTATTCTTTCAATTCCCAGGGTCTTGTTTTTCACCAATTCCTTCAGTGCAGGTTGGACCTCTTCCTTCAGTACCTTGGTTCTTGATCATATGCTACCTCTTGAAATGGTTAAATTTCAACCAGTTGTTTTTGGTACAGTGACTCTGTATATTCTTTCCATCTTCTTTTGAGTATGATTGGGAGATTATGATTTTGGTTATGATTGGGAGAAATAATACCAACTTTCCAATTTTCAACAGTTGGTGATAAGTCTCAGTAAAGTACTAAAAAAGGTATGTGCACTAAAAATCAGGAACTTAATTTAAAAATACTTTAGAGTTTTAAGTAATAAGGGGGGGGGAACACTTTTTTTCTTTACTGATGTGATCTTTTTTTCACTTTCCAGAGAAGTTGCAAAGTAACAAAATTATATCTAAATTAAACCTTTGAAGACTCAATTAGGAGCACAGATTTTTAAATAGATCTGATTCTGGTAATTAAATGTGTAATGGGGTCAGAGAATTTCCTTTCATTCAGTTTTTCTGTAGCTCCTTTGACTCAAGAGGTTTTGCTGGACCAGGGCACTTTGAAGCTTCTCAGGAGTTCTAGGTATCTTGTGTTCTGTATTCATGAAAATATGTTCCATTCCTGATGGGCCCTGTTGTTTTGTAGATTGTGACTCATGCCAGAAAACCAAACCCTTTGCCGTGGAATCAGTTCCAACTCAGCAACCCTGTGGGGGTAGAGTAGAACTACCCCATAGTGTATCCAAGGCAGTAAATCTTTACGGAAGCTGACTGCCACATCTTTCTCCACGGAGTGGCTGGTGGGTTCGAACCACCAACCTTTTAGTTAGCAGCTGAGCACTTAACCACTGTCCCACCAGGGCTCCTTTTCTGACTCATAGCAACCTAATATGATAGAGTAGAACTGCCCTGTATGGTGTCCTAGGCTGTCCTATAGGTAAACAAAGGACTTTTATTTAGCTGTATGGTTGCCTTTGACTGAAACGGATGTATTTCATGAGTTCTATCATATGTTCCTGTAATTTGAGCTTAGCCATACATCTCTTTATTTTCAGTGGAACAATATAAATGCTAGAAATGAAACTGTTCGAAAAGACTAAAAGAATATTCTTTGAGTTAGTATACTTGTTTCATATTGTGCAAAATTTATACTAATAAATGTAATATTACACTCCCCTTTCTAGGAAAAAATCGACATGTCTAGATTTCCTGTTGAAAATATTAGAAATTTCAGTATCATTGCACATGTGGATCATGGCAAAAGTACGTTAGCTGACAGGCTTCTGGAACTAACAGGTATTTTCATTTTGTATTATATACTTAATTAATGGCAATTAATTAACAGTAATTACTTTTACCATGCTTTTTTAAATTTTGGTTTCAATATTATATGCAGTATTGTTTTTTTTAAGCCCACAGAAATACAATAAGTGTTTCTGTTTATAGGGACAATTGATAAAACAAAGAATAATAAGCAAGTTCTCGATAAACTGCAAGTGGAACGAGAAAGAGGAATCACTGTTAAAGCACAGACAGCGTCTCTCTTTTATAATTGTGAAGGAAAGCAGTACCTTTTAAATCTCATTGATACACCTGTAAGTTTACTTCTTATTTTGAGTGTATATTTAAAGTCAGCCTTGTACTTTATTTTTGTACTTGTTTAATTTTTTACTTTATATTATACACTTACCTTTGCATTTAGCTCAGTGTTCTTATATTAATGTAAATTGTTTACCAAGGGCAGACTAAAAAAACCAAACTTACATTTAACAGTTTTTGTCAAATGGGGTCAATAGATTTGCCATAATGCCCTCCCTAAAAAAATTATAGCTAACATTTAGAGTTATCAGTATTTTTGTTTTTTTTTTTTTGTTTCTCAGGGCCATGTTGATTTTAGCTATGAAGTATCCAGGTCACTCTCTGCTTGCCAGGGTGTTTTACTTGTGGTTGATGCAAATGAGGTAGGTAGTCTTCATTTTATGTGATGCGACATGCTAGCTAATTATTTCAAGAGGTTTTCCTTAAACTGTGCTTTAGAAATGTATTTTTTTGTTTGGTAAAAAAAAAAAAGATTTATTGTCTTAGCCAAAATCATATGCGTTGGTCCTGTTAATTTGAAGTTATGTTATACTAAAGCATTCTATGAAATTGACTAGTTCATCTTTTAAAGTATGAATTCTCACAAAATTTGTGAGAGTTTTGTGAGAATTTTAAAGCTGATCAGAGGAATTGTTCAAGAGATTGAGGTATTTTTTTTGTCAAAATATGTCATATTCATAAATGCATCCTACCAAAAAAAAAAACAGTTTTAACAGTTTTTAATATTTGATTGCCCTATCAATTTTTAACAGAACTTGAAAATGATCTTTAGTGTTTGGATCATTTTGGGTAATGTTCAGTATTAATTTGGTAATTGTTAGGTTTAAAGAAACGTGTCGATAGCATTAGTAAATTTTGGAGGGTAGAAACGTCAGCCATAAAAATATATTCAGCAGATTACCCTATAATATAAGAGCTATGATAAACTGTTTAAAGTTAAGTTTTTGGCATACCTCAGTTTATCACAAACTCTTCATTCAAACCTAAACTTTTTTTTTTTCCCCCTGTGTTAAGCCTTCCCTGATCCTGTCAGGGGATGCCAGTCTCTACCTCATATACATAGTACTGGGCTTTATAAATGGCACTGGGTTATGCAAATGTTTTGCTCTTGACTACTAACCTAAAGGTTAGCTGTTCAAACTCACCCCGTGGTGCCACACAAGAAAGGCCTGGTGATCTACTTTATTGAAGATTACAGCCAGGAAAACCCTATGGAGCAGTTCAGCTCTGTAACACAACGGATCACCATAAGTTGGAATTGACTAAACAGCAACAGGATTGGGTTTTTTTTGTGGAGGTGAGGGTGAGAAAGCTTTATAAACTGCATCACACCACTGTGTCCTCTAGTAGGCTTTGAAGTCCTGAGGGACCATGTTTCCTGTTTTTGTCTTCAGTGCCTGATACAGTCCTTAGCACAGAGAACAACAACAACAAAAAAAAACAACAAACCCATTGCTGTCAAGTCGATTTTGACTCATAGCAAGTCTACAGGACAGAGTAGAACTGCCCCATAGGGTTTCCAAGGAGCAGCTGGTGGATTCGAACTGCCAGCCTTTTGGTTAGCAGCCTGAGCTCTTAACCACTGTGCCACCAGGACTCCAGCACAGAAAAGACCTTCCAATAAATGCTTCCTGAACTGAAGGAATTATCACGGGATAATCCAGATATATGGAAGTATTAGTACCATAGTTTGCCCTGTACCTCTCCTTAAGGCTACCATATCAAGCTTAGTAGAGAGTCTGTGGCTCATTCTGCTTGCTGTGATTATTGCTTTACCATCAGCTGACTTTGTTTTGGCCCTGAAGAGATAAATTGGAGAGAAAAGTAGGAAAAGCAGATATATGGCATTTTGTTGAATTTTATTATTAAAGTCACACAAAACTTCAGTTTTAATAAAGATGTGTGGAATAGTCTTGAATGGTTTTGTGACAGACAGTTAGAATGGTCATCTTGGTATCTTGTGTTTTGATATTTTCAGGGTATTCAAGCCCAAACTGTAGCAAACTTCTTTCTTGCCTTTGAAGCGCAGCTATCAGTAATTCCGGTTATAAACAAGGTAATTACGAGACAACAAATGCTATTCGTTATTTCACTTTCTAAAAGTATATTTAGTGTTTGAATATCATGCGTAGTATTTTTTTTTATATGCGGGATCTTCAGATTTTTATTAAATGCACTGGTGGGATTTATTTTTTTGACTTACATGTGATAGAATTGCAATTCAAACCCCTATGTCTTTGCGTGTAGTCTCCCTGATTTACATGGAGTGATGGAGGACCGTTCCCATAGTAAAGGGAAACAAGGCAGAGAAAATATGTCTGTTATGCTAAACTATACACAAGAAAAGAAAAGGAGCTTATGATCTAGGAGGAAACAATGTAGTTCAATGCGTGAAACATAACAGTTAAGTGCTAAACTGAGAGTTGTTGATAAACCTCCACTTGTATATTTTAAAATTAATAAATTAAGAATCTTAATTTAAAAATATGCATTCCACTAAATAATACTTATGATTTTGGAGTTAAATTTAAAAGAAGCAAGGCTGCCCATAGGTAAGACAGGTTGTTACCAAACTTAATGTTAGAATGATGATGTATGTCTAACTTATAAAATCACTACACATGGTGCGAATTGAAAAATTATTATTCAGCTATTCTTCTACCTTGAATAGTCAGACATGCTCTGCTGTCTGTGGTTATATTTGTTAGATTACATTGCTTATATCTAGATTATTTTAATATTTTTGAAAAAAATCATAGGTCAGTTAGGTTAAAGCAGGTAAGCTTTCAGTTATCTTCAAATACTGTTAATATATAATACATTTTATTTTTACTAAGATATCATGGATTTTTTTTTTTTTTTGTTAAGATAGATTTGAAGAATGCTGATCCTGAAAGGGTCGAAAAACAAATTGAAAAGGCGTTTGATATTCCAAGTGATGAATGTATTAAGGTAAAATACTTTTTTTGCAGACTGTTGGTTATACTTTAAAAAATCTCAGGTACTTGGCCTAAGTGAAATTTCACAGTATTTGATAGCGTGGTACTGTATAGTATGTTTATAGTTTGACGAAGTTAATGTTACTACTATTTCATTTGATCCTTATCAAAAACCTTTATTGCATTATCAGGAGAGATAGGAATTATATAGTACCAATTTTAGGAAACAATAGACTTTATTTATATCAAAGTTAATACCATTTTAAATTTGAATTTATTTTTTAACCTTTCAAATGAGTTTGAGTGTTAAACAGTCACAGCCGAACTGTGATATGCTGCATGCTACTGAGTTTGTGAGTGCAACAATATAATGTTTAGCTTCCATTCTCAATCTCGTTTGGTTTTTGAAAACCCAAGTTTTAGGTGGTTAAGTGTATTTGTTAAACCTTAATGCAATGGATTATTATAGACAACTTGATAATAACTAATTAAAGCAGTTTTTTTTTTCCCTCGGATACATAGAATTTGAAGGTTTTATTATAAAGAGGAACATTATAAGGCGGTCGTTGGAATTATGGTTTCATAACTTAGAGTATGCGATATTAAAATACAATTCTGATTTTAGTAAATCTGTGCAAAATTTATTCAGATGTTTTATTTAGTATATTACCAGCTAGAGACACAGCAGTCAACAAGACAAACAGGACCACTGCCTCCCGGTGTCTATATTGTACTTGGAGAGTCAGTTAATAAGTAAAGAAGTAAGCATAGTCATTATTGAATGGGAAAGATGTTGTCAAGGAAATTCATTCAACACATGGTATTGTTCTAGATGGAATATCATAATTAACAAGTGGAAACCCCCACCCCCACACTTAGGGAAGACCACTCTGATGAGAGGACATTTGAACTGACACCTGAAGAAGTTAAGAGGAGAACAAGCGTTCTAGGAAGAGGGAGAAAAAGTGCAAAGATCCTAAATGAGGAAAAGATTTCACATGTTTAATGAACAGAAAAGCTAGATGGCTTTGCACAGGTAGGCAGATACCAAGTCATGCTGGGACTCTTGCTATGCTAAAGAGTTTGAAAATTATTCTAAGCTGATGAAATATTTTAAAGCAAGAGAGGGAAATAAACTGATCATTCAGGCTACCTTATAGAGAATGGATTAGAGAGGGACAAGAGATATAGGGAGACCAGCTAGAAGTAATAGTCCAGGTGAGAAATGATTTCAGTTAAGTCTGTGATGGTGACATTGGAGAAGTGGACCAGTCTGATGTATATTTTGTAGATACAACAGATTTTCAGATTGGTTAGATGTAAGGAAGTGAAAGACAGGGAAGAATGAAGGTTGACTTGGAGGCTTTGAGTTTGAGCAACTGATTGAATGGTGCAATCACTTATTAATATGAAAAGATCCAATGGGGAACAGACATGGAGGATAAATAAGAGCTTTCTTTTGGACATAGTGAATTTGAAATGTCTGTTAGACATCCAAGTGGAGATACTGTATAAATATACAAATGTGGCATTCATGAAGACGTCTGGTTTAGAGATATATATTTAGGAATTATCAGCATATATGTGGTACTTGTATTTAAAATCCCAGTAATGGATGTTATTTCCTAGGGAGCAAGTATAGGTACAAAAGTGGTCCTAGAACTTAGACCAAATTATTGTCAGTGTTTAGAGTGTTAGGAGGAAAAACTTGATAAGGGTTAGAGAGAGTATATAATCCAAAACAGAAGTATGGAAGGACTGACTTTTCAGAAAAGTAGGAATACTCTGTAACGAGAGAAGGCTGCAGGTTGTAGGTGAAGATGTAGAGTTGTTTCTATTTTTGGATGAGGGAGTTTTTGATGTTTCTGTTTCCTTAATGAAATAAGAGGTGAAGTTATTAGCTGAGAGTGAATTGGCCAGAGTGGAAAATGTATGGGTTGAAAAGGAGAGTGGTGTGAAATAATCTTACAGAGTGGTATTGTGACTTTACTAGAGGACATGTGCTGGGACTACTAGAAGGGCTAGGTGCACGTAGAGATCTGTGGTCATAGATTCATGAAAAACCATTCGAGATCAGTCACAGGCATACCTGATTTTATTGCGCTTCGCTTTATTGTGCTTTGCAGGTGTTGCATTTTTTACAAATTGAAGGTATATGGTAACACTGCATTGAGCAAGTCTGTTGGTGCCATTTTTCCAACAGCATGTGCTCACTTTCTATCTCTGTGTCACATTTTGGTAATTCTCGCAATATTTCAAACTTTCATTATTGTATCTGTTATGGTGATCTGTGATCAGTGATCTTTGATGTTACTATTGTAATAGTTTTGGGGTGCCACAAACCGTGCCCACAAAAGATGGTGAACTTAATCAATAAATGTGTGTGTTCTGACTGCTCCACTGACTGGCCATTCCCCCATCTGTCTGTTTCCCTCTCCTCTGGCCTTCCTATTTCCTGAGACATGACAATATTGAAATTATGCTAGTTAATAACCCTACAATGGTCTCTAAGTGTTGAAATGTACGGAAGAGTCTCACATCTCTCGCTTTAAATCAAAAGCTAGAAATGATTATGCTTAGTGAGGAAGGCATGTCTAAAGCCAAGATAGGCCAAAAGCTAGGCCTCTTGCACCAAGTTGTGAATGCAAAGGAAAGGTTTTTGAAGGAAATTTAAAGTGCTACTCCAGTGCAGTGAACACATGAATGATCAGAAAATGCAACAGCCTGATTGCTGATACAGAGAAAAGTTTTAGTGGTCTGGATAGAAGATCAAACCAGCCACAACATTCCCTTAAGCCAAAGCCTAATCCAGAGCAAGGCCCTAACTCTCTTCAATTCTGTGAAAGCTGAGAGAGGTGAGGAAGCTGCAGAAGAAAAGTTTGAAGCTAGAAGAGGTTGGTTCGTGAGGTTTAAGGAAAGATGCCATCTCCATAACATAAAAGTGCATGGTGAAGCAGCAAGTGCTGGTGTAAAACTGCAGCAGGTTATTCAGAAGATCTAGCTAAGGTAACTGATGAAGGTGGCTACACTAAACAACAGATTTTCGGTGTAGATGAAACAGCCTTATATTGGAATAAGATGCCATCTAGGACTTTCATAGCTAGAGAGGAGAAGTCAGTCAATGCCTGGTTTCAAAGCTTCAAAGGACAAGCTGACTCTCTTGTTAGGGGCTAACGCAACTGGTGATTTTAAGTTGAAGCCAGGGCTCGTTTACGATTCCAAAAATCCTAGGGCCCTTAAGAATTATGCTAAATCTACTCTGCCTGTGCTCTATAAATAGAACAACAAAGCCTGGATGACAGCACATTTGTTTACAACATGGTTTACTGAATATTTTAGGCTCACCATTGAGATCATATAGTGCCATTAGGAGTCAGAATTGGCACGACGGCAACAGGTTTGGTTTGTTTGGTGATTGAGACCTACTGCTCAGAAAAAAAGATTCCTTTCAAAATATTACTGCTCATTGACAATGCCCCTGGTCACCCAAGAGCTCTGCTGGGAGATGTACAAGGAGATTAATGTTTTCATGCCTGCTAACACAACATCTATCCATTCTGTAGCCCATGGATCAAGGAGTAATTTCAACTTTCAAGTCTTATTATTTAATGAATACATTTCTTAAATGCAGTGGTTAAGAGCAGTGCAGTGGTTAAGAGCTCGGGTGCTAACCGAGAGGTCGGCAGTTCGAATCCACCAGCCGATTTTTGGAAACTCTATGGGGCAGTTCTACTCTGTCACATAGGGTCGCTATGAGTCAGAATTGACTCAATGGCAATGGTTGTTGTTGGTTTTTTTGTTTTTGTTTTTTTTAATAGCTACCATAGATAGTGATTCCTATGATGAATCTGGGCAAAGTAAACTGCAAACCTTCTAGAAAGGTTTCACCATTCTAGATGCCATTAGGAATACTAGTGATTAATGGGAGTTGGTCAAAATATCAACATTAACAGGAGTTTGGAAGAAGTTGATTCCAGCCCTCATGGATGACTTTGAGGGGTTCAAGACTTCAGTGGAGGAAGTAACTGCAGATGTGGTGGAAATGGCAAGAGAACTAGAATTAAAAGTGGAGCCTGAAGGTAAGACTGAGTTGCTGCAATCTCATAAAAATTTAAGGGATGAGGAGTTGGTTCTTATAGATGAGCAAAGAAAGTAGTTTCTTGAGATGGAATCTACTCTTGGTGAAGATGCTGTGAACACTGTTGTAATGATAACAAAGGAGTTAGAATATTACATAAACTTAGTTGATAAAGCAGCGGCAAGGTTTGAGAAGATTGACTCCAGTTTTGAAAGAAGTTCTTATTGTGGGTAAAATGCTATCAAACAGCACTGCATGCTACAGAGAAATCTTCTGTGAAAGGAAAAGTCAATCAATGTGGCAAACTTCATTGTTGTCTTATTTGAAGAAATTGCCACAGCCATTCAAACCTTCAGCAGCCACCACCCTGATCCGTCAGCAGCTATCTACATCGAGGCAAGACCCTCCACCAGCGAAAAGATTACAACTCACCGAAGGCTCAGATGATGGTTATCATTTTTTTAGAAATAAAGTACATTGTTGTTTTAGACATAATGCTATTGCATACTTAATAGACCCCCCAAAACACCTGTTGCCATCGAGTTGATTCTGACTCATAGTGACTCTACAGACTACAGTATAGTGTAAACATAACTTCTGTATGCAATGGGAAACCAAAAATTTTGAGTGACTCACTTTATTGCAATATTTGCTTTATTATGGTGGTCTGGAACCAAACCTTCAATATCTCCAAGGTATGTCTGTATTTGATTTTTCTCTAGTAATGTTCAGCTGCTCTGTATATAGACATAGAAAAAGCACATGATTAGATGCAGTCAGGGTTAAGGCTTTGTTAGCTGCTTGTGATAGGGAGAGAATAGAAGGTTCAACAGAGTAATTCTAAATAAATAGTGGACTTTGGAGTCTCATCTAGGAAGGATGGGAAGGGAGTGGGGTGGGGGAATAATGTATAAAGAAAAAAGTAGTGCATTGATGAATTAGAAGTTGTAATCTTAAAGGACTATTGCAAAGAAGGTACTAGAGTTGAAAGCAGTACTCAGCAGGGAGCGATCTTGCCCCGTAAGAGATAATTAATTGGTAATTTCTGAAGACATTTTTTGGTTGTCACAGCTGGAGACAGGTGTGCTGCTGGCATCCTGTGTAGAGGCCATGGATGCTGCTAAACATACTTCAATATATGGGATAGCCCCCACAACAAAGAATCATCCAGCTCAAAATGTCTATAGTGCTGAAGTTAAGAAACCCTGGTCTAGACTAAGTGAGTTTGAACAGTAAGAGGTTGTATTCATCAGATGGGTTTTCAAATCAAGATTTCAGAGACAGTCCATTTACTGATGGTGCCAAAGATCAGGCATGCACATGTGATTTGACTCTTTTGGCTTGCGTTTTTGATGTGAGAACAATGAAATAGTAGTACTAAGCCTTATAGTTGCAGGTATGCCATCCACACACACACACACACGTTAAATATTTATGTTATATACCTATTTATAGATAGATATAAATCTTATATATATGAGATTTAAACAAAATAATTACTTCATTTTTCAGATGAAATTGAAGCTCCAGGTGATATATGTATTAGTCAAAATCATATATTCCATGCAGAGTTAGGATTACTACTTAGATTTTTTTTTTTTTTTAACTTAGTCCATTGCTCTTTCAATTCCATAATCAGAATGTTCTTATAATTTAGTTAATCTTAGAACCATAGAGCTACCTAACTATAATGGAAGGTCATTTGTCAATACACTATGCTTTTCCTCATTTTGCTATGTTCTTCAAACAAATTGATAACTCTTAGAATTCTTTCTTCCTTCTAATAAATCATAGTCATTAGAATAGGAAATTATAGTCTTAATTTTAAATGCTGATTTTTTCACATATTTTTAGATTTCTGCTAAACTTGGAACAAATGTTGAAAGTGTTCTTCAGGCAGTCATCGAAAGAATACCCCCGTAAGTATTTGCTATGTTTGTACTATTCACTTATTTAATAGTCCAAGGACCATCAATTTGGTCTGTTATTTTAGTGGATATGACAGATATACTCTTGCAGTCAGTGAGAATAAACTTCTGATGTATATTTAGTAATATGTAGACGGCAAATATGGTACAGTAAAATAAAAGAAAAAGCAAGTATGAAAGGGATATCATCCTAACAATCATTATAATAAAGAGACTTCAGTGCATTGGCAATTATTGTTCTTTGCTTTAAAACTGAACAAATGTATCCCGTCAGTTTTATAAGTAGTTAAAAAAAATCACTTATTTTAAACTGAAGGTTGATTTAAATCTAATGTAAAAACAGGTAGTATGCCTTATTTTATAAAAAAATCTTTTTATTTTGGCTGTTTGGTATTAGTCGTTCTCATGGTTGACTAAATGCTAGTACTAGAATAAATTAAACTTATTTGAGTTGAAAATAGGCATTTTATTAAGATTTTAATTTAGTATGTGTATATTTGTTTTTGACTTATTCTCTATAGTCCTAAAGCACATTGCAAAAATCCCCTGAGAGCTTTGGTATTTGACTCCACCTTTGACCAGTATAGGGGTGTGATAGCCAATATAGCACTATTTGATGGAGTGGTATCCAAAGGAGATAAAATTGTGTCTGCACATACTCAAAAGATCTATGAAGTTAACGAAGTAGGAGCTCTGAATCCTAATGAGCAGCCAACTCATAAATTGTAAGTAATCTCTGTTAGTAATTAGAATAAATTCAATGTGTTTCTAGTCTCTGCTGCTTTTTCAACTTGGTATATGCATAGAATGATCCCAATTTGGTAACTTAAGGAGCCCTCGTGGCTCAGTGGCTAAGAGCTCAGCTGCTAACCTAAAGGTCAGCAGTTTGAATCCACCAGCTGCTCCTTGAAAACCCTATAGGGTAGTTCTGCTCTGTCCTGTAGGGTTGCTATGAGTCGGAATTGACTTGAGGGCAGCGGGTTTAGTTTGTTTTTTTAATACAGTGAATACTCTGCTGAAAGGAATCTCATATGTGAAGAACAGTAGAAACTTCTATAAATTTAAAAAATAATTGATACATTTTTATTCCTAATGGCTAGTCATAGCTAGGCATTTAATTTTTATAACTACATTTTTCAACGTAAATGTAGTATAGAAAGAGTCCCAGGTGGCCCAGATCGTTAAGCGCTCGACTGTTAGCTGAAAGGTTGGCAGTTCAAACCCACCGAGAGGCACCATGGAAGACAAGCCTGATGATCTGCTTCCAAAGGTCACAGCCTTGAAAAGCCTGTGGAGCAGTTCTACTCTCTGCACAAATGGGGTCGCTATGAGTCAGAACTGATTCAATGGCAACTAACAACAACAACCGTATTTTTCAACATGAAGATAGTATAAACCTCTTGCCATCGAGACAGTTCCGACTCTTAGTGACCCTATTGGACAGAACAGAACTGCCCCATAGGGTTTCCAGGGAGCGCCTGGTGGATTCCAACTGCCGATCTTTTAGTTAGCAGCCATAGCTCTTAACCACTGTGTCACCAGGGTTTCCAAAGATAGTATAGAAAGTGATAACTTTAGTGTGGAATTCATGGTAAAACCTTGATTAACTAGAACTCATGGGGAGTGGGGTTAACAAGGCAGTGTGCATTAGAATATTTTACTTCCTACTCTTCCAGGAGCCTTGGTGGCACAGTGGTTAAGAGATTGGCTGCTAACCAAAAAAAAGTCGGGAGTTTGAATCCACCAGCCGCTTCTTGGAAACCCTATGGGGCAGTTCTACTCTGTCTTACAGGGTCGCTATGAGTCGGAATCAACTTGACTGGCAACGGGTTTGGGTTTTTTTGGATTTTATTCTGTCAGGTACTAATTAGATAGATGACCTTGGGCACGGTCTTTGTTCCCTCATCTGTAAAAATTAGGGTATTGAACCATATGATTATGTAGGCCACATCTGAGGGTTTTATGTTGTATGTCTAAAACCAGCACTGTTTTGTTGATTATATGTTTTATTTGATTGAGTCAGAACATCTATTTTATTTTACTCAAATATTTCTGAAGTCTGTATTCTGCCATACATATATTGTACATTAACAAACCTTTGGTTAAGGTTCCTATACCTCATTCTAAATGTAAATTAGTTGTTTTTTAAGATGTAGAATTCAAAAGTGTAAGGAATTAGTTGAATATATTCTGAGACAAGCTATGTTCAGGAATTTGCTTTTGCTAAAACTCTGAAATCTTGAGATTTGCTCTTTTCCTACAAGAGGAACATCAAATACATGTCAGATTTGTTGAGACTTCAGTTTTCTGCCTGTCTAAAAATTTACCTTTTTTTTTTCCCTTAAAGCACATTTGTAACACAGTTGATTAGTAAAGTAGACATTACAGAAAGTGTTCTGTGCTTCTGCACTTATCCGTTTCACTGTGTTTACGTTTCATAATCTGGTGTCTCATTTGCAAGTGTGTTCAGAGTCATGAAGAAGGCCTTAAGCTTGTTTTGGTGCAGAAGTCCTTGGTTAATGGACTATAGGCATGGTGTGGTTTTTGCCGATAATTCTTAGTTTGAGAATTGATATGTAGCACTTATTTTCAGTTTGACCAAGTTTTGTTTGGAAAGTGTGTGATAGTTTCCTGGGAAGGTGGAACTAATTATGAATATGGACTTGAAATATTAAGATCAGTAAATATTATTTCCATATAATAATTTTATTTAGATATGCAGGACAGGTGGGCTATCTGATTGCTGGGATGAAAGATGTCACTGAAGCTCAAATAGGAGATACATTATATTTACATAAGCAACCAGTGGAGCCCTTGCCTGGGTTTAAATCAGCGAAACCAATGGTATTTGCAGGTGAGGAGATCACAAATTTGAAGGATGAAGGCCAAAATATTTTAAAAATAAAGCCTGTGCAATGAAACAAAAATTACTAGACAATAAATACTCTGATTATTGTAAGTAACTGCTAATGCCAGGATATGCCATTTCTTTTAGTTGATTTTTGTGTGCTATTTACATATCAGTTTATAATTTCATATGTAATGATGAAACTTTATATGGAGATTATCTCCTAAATTTTTTTAGGACTTCTTAAGAAACAAACTCTGAAATACAGAAAAACATTGTAATATAAATTTTCTTTTTGTTTCTCTAGGGCGTTAGTCAAGTTTATACTTAAAACATTTTTCTAGTTAGGAAGTTTTTATTACTAATTATCAGTAGACGCTGCTGAATGCCTTCTTCTTAGCTGGCCTTTAATACTGTATTACAGTAGTATACACTCGACAATAGTGTTGCCTCATGTATGTATCATTCAAAACCGTTTACTACTGTGTAGTATTGCAGACTTTTGAAAAAGGAAGACTTGATTGAAGGTTACCTACCATCAGCTTACTCTGTACTGGGTATCCATCCCTTATTTTCCTCCCTACAGTATCTCTCATTAGGAATTAAGAACTTTGTTTCCCCATGTTTAGCAAACACAGTCATGCGGGTTTTGGAGGACTTGAGAGATGCGGGTTTCAGAGGTGTTAGATACAAAAGAATCTGATGAATCAGTAGTAAGTCCTATAATTTCTAACAGTGTCTTTAATTTTAATAGATAATCTGTCTGCCTTAGAGAATTTAGAGTTTAGTGTAGTTTTCATTTCTATTCCTTTTTTTAGATACTGTTTGTGGTTGTAGGTTGGCTTGCCCTTTTGTTTTTTTAAATAAATAAAATTTATTTTCTTTATAGGCCTAATTCCCATGATTCTTTAGATCTTGTGATTTCCCTATATTTTTGAAAATGCATAAAAATATCATTTGGAGTGCGAATCCAGTTGTAAATTCATTAAGGCTCATGACTTAGAAGATACTTTGAAACCAACATAATATTCAGATTTTTTAGCAAACCAGTATTTTGTCAGTGAAATAATAAAAAAGTAATTTAAAAGCTAAATGATTAATATTAAATTTGGCAGCACTGCATATTAGATTAGGGCTGTAGACAACTTATCACATGTGGTAATTGGAATTCATTGTGTCCCCAGGAATGTACCCTATAGACCAGTCTGAATATAATAACCTGAAGAGTGCTATAGAAAAACTGACTTTAAATGACTCCAGCGTAACAGTTTATCGGGATACTAGCCTTGCCCTAGGCGCTGGCTGGAGGTAAGATTCACGTTGTAGAGTCCTGTTTTTATACAAGAGTAAAGTTTAAATGGTGCATTGCTCTTGAACATTTCTGAAGATAAGTTCATGTTAGTGTAAAAATGAACTAAAACAATTTGCCTCTTTCACACCATGGATTGACATTCTATGGGTAAGTTTTATAGCCATTCCAAATAGAATCCTAATGGAAGATTTGAATCTTATTTAATAAAATTATGCTAGCGTTTACTTATGATGTGAATTGCTTGAATGCCTCTTGATACCACTCTTCCCTCCAAAGTTAACAATGTGTTTATTGAAGAAAATAGAGCCCATGGGACATAAACATTGTGGAGTTTGGCTTTTTCCCCCAGGTTGGGATTTCTTGGACTCTTGCATATGGAAGTTTTCAACCAGCGACTAGAGCAAGAATATAATGCTTCTGTTATTTTGACAACCCCCACTGTTCCATATAAAGCTGTTCTTTCATCAGCAAAATTGATAAAGGTACTATAATGTTTAGTACTAATGTGAAAACTGTAGGAGAAAACTAAGTGTAGGTGTGCGTGTGTGTGTGTGTGTGTGTATGCATATGTGTATGCAGAATGCAACAGAAACTTTTTAGTATACCATTAGCTAACTAGCTATTAAAACTAATTAGATATTTACTTTTTGGTTAGTAATAACAAAAATTACCTTATAGATAATAAGGGAGAAACTATTTGAAAACTACTGTATTTTTATACAAATAATGCACACCTTCTGTGTTTGCAGGTTGCAGTCCCCCCCGGCCCCCCAGGTATTTTTGTGAGCACACTTTGCGTGGAAGAGGATTGGCATGGTGGTACTTGTGAGGGTGCCTCATGGGGGGAGGGCATGGCTAGCAAACAAACACAGAACGTGTGCATTATTTGTGTAAAAATATGGTAATTTCTGCAGTATTTTTCTTAACCTGATAATCTCCAGATTGTCAACACTAGTCTGTACTGGGAGTAAAAACTAGAATTAGTGATGACAAATACTGTTCTAAATCCAGTACAAAGATGAAAAATATAATTTAGGTCATAGGGAATTTATAAGAAGTGACACAATCCTACATGGCAGTGGGAAATTTTAGATTTGATGTTAACGATAGAGTTAATGGAATTCTATGTGGCAATCTGTTCATTTAAACGAATATTAACTTTGGCACCCGTAAGTATTTTCCAACAAAATTAATCTTAGTAATTGTAGTTACAGTTAGAACTGTAATTATAATGCCTTATAACGGGCAGATTAAAATGTATTCTTCTGTCACACGTTTCCTAAACAGTACATGAAATGTATTTAATAAATGTCAGTAACCAGAGTATATTATTTAGAAGTAATCGTTCTTAATGTTAAATGATTATAATAGGAATTTTTTTTTAACTTAAAGCATGGTAAGATAATACAGGCAGTCACTGGCTTACAAACGAGATCCATTCCTAAGTCTGTTTTTAAGTCGAATTTGTAGTTAAGTCAGAACAGGTATATATGGTTCTTAATTAGTGTCAGTAAAATATTTGTCTTAGTATATAATATATATTTTACCTTTCTATGCATATAAAACATTTAGGAAACACTTCCAAACTGCTCGGTGTTTTCATGATCATCAGAAAGTAATGCATGTGTTCAAATGTTATTATGAACCATTGTATTTAACTCAAATTTTTAATGTAATAGGCTTTGTGGCAGTCCTTTCTTAAGTACAAGCTGTCTGTAAATCAGACGTTCGTAACCCAGGGACTGCCCATATTCTAACTTTTAGGGATTCTTTATGTTTTTGTTAATTCCAACAAATTCAGTAACAATACAAATTCCAACATATACTATACATTAAAATCAAACTTTTATGAAATGTGATAATTATATTAAGATTTCTTTTTAACTGTTGGTGATTTTTTTCTACTTTTTAGGAATATAGAGAAAAAGAAATTACAATCATCAATCCTGCACAATTCCCTGATAAATCAAAAGTAACAGAATATTTGGAGCCAGTTGTTTTGGGCACTATTATCACACCAGATGAATACACTGCAAAAATTATGATGCTTTGCCAGGTATAAATGTAATCCAGTTTACTATAAAAGTAGGTTTTAGTCCTTTAAAACAGTGGTTCTCAGCCCAGGTTTTGAAAAAAAATTTCTTCAGCTGAGCACATTGAACTTAGTAAGAGATTTATAAATATATCTACACACACACACACACACACACACACACACACATATATTTAAAAATAAGAAAAATGTAGTCAGTATTTTTGATTATCTTTTGCTAATGTTCTGAATTAATATTTTAGCCCAAAAGAAAGAAATTTGATGTTTTACTTATCCAGAGTAGCTAAAAGTATAATGTTTTTAAGCCTGCTTGAGTACTTAACATTGAATATAGTTTCAAAGACAATGACAGTACTTCAGGCACTGTCAGATTGGAAGGCATTCTCCATTTTCTTTATTGAAAAGAACTCTCACATGGTGACTAAGAGACTTTAGTTTGAATTCTGTTTTCACAGACTAGATTGTAACTTCAGTTAGTCACTTAATTTATCTGGACCTATGTTTCCTTACTTAGGAAAGGAGAAAGTAGGACTTTGATTTAAATGTAGTTACATTTGATTTATTGTTAAATAAAACACTGTAATTAGAAAAGATAACATTATTAGATAAAAAGAAAGGATTCAAGTTTTGGTAATAAGCATAAAATAACTGACATACAAAATGGTTCTCCCTATACTATAAATATTGGCCACAAGTTTTTACTAGACTGTTAAAGAAATACTTCTTCATTTTTCCCACTGTCTATTGTCGGGATTTGTAAGGGAATTTGAAACTTGATAATTGGTATTTTTGTTAATTTAAGTCAATATCTAAATATGTTATGATCAAGCACGTCTTTTCCCTTTTTTAGGCTCGAAGAGGAGTTCAGAAGAATATGATGTATATTGATCAAAATAGAGTTATGCTTAAATATCTCTTCCCTTTGAATGAAATTGTGGTAGATTTCTATGATTCTCTGAAATCCCTGTCTTCTGGATATGCTAGGTAAAATTTAATGGAAAACTCAGATGCCTTGACAAATTTTTGAAATACTGACCACCAAGAGTATAATAATGCTTCACCTATTTAACAATCTCAGCTGCCTTGAAGACATTTAAGAATCAGACTCTAAGACTAGAAAGGCTTGGAGCAGCAACCTCACAGGGGTTGCAGAGTACTTGTAATTTGCTTAAGGGAGACTCAGTCCCTTGGATTCTTCATCAAACTATTATCCCTTTTTTAATAAAAAATTTAAGATCATCTTTATGATAATAGTTGTATTCTTTCTATCTTTTGATTAAGAATTATACATGATTTTAAAAGCTGCTATGATCTCTGGGTTTGAAGTGTATCTGTATGCCATGTAATCCCAATAGCATCTATATACATTTAAAAAATACAAAAATATACATCAATCTGTAAAAAGTTTAGGTGTGTCCTGGCATTTCTGAACTCTTTAATTCTTTGGTCTTCCCAGGACAGAAACCAGTGTTTTATCCCATAGGAGCACATGGATGGAGAAACAGGAAGGGAAAGTTACTATTACATAATAAATCATAGCATTTTGGTAGTATTTTTTTGTTAAGAGCACCAGTTTATTTTATGATTAAGACAATAAGAACTTACATGTTCTTGTCCATGACTAGGAAGAAGTGTAAGCAAAACTGAAATTTTCTTTTAGACTTCAGTTAAATAAGTTAAATATTTCAACATGTCTGTTTTGATTAGCATTGCAAGCTTTGGCTATATTAATAATAGTAATGAATGCTTTGGCTATATTAATAATAGTAATAAACCAAACCCATTGCCTTTGAGTTGATTCAGACTTATGCAGACCCCATTACAGAGTAGAACTGTACCATAGGGTTTTCTTGGCTGTAACCTTTATGGAAGCAGATCATCAGGCCTTTCTTTACTGGGCTGACACTTATTAAGTGCTTATATGTGCTAAGCTAGGCTCTGTTCTAAACACTTATTATGTACCAAGTACTGTTCTAAGTGCTTTACATGCATTAACTCATTTAATTCTCACAAAAGTTTCTGTGAAGGTTGAAACTAAATAGCCATGTATGAAATCCAAAAGTCTTATATAATGACTGTTAGATCAAGTCTAAAGCACTTCCTGAAACATATGGTTGTTCTTGGTAGTAGAAAACTAAACAGAAACCCAACTCATGAATCTCAGAATAACTTTAATATACAGTACTGTCTGTAGACAGCCAGCTACTGGGAACACTGGGAAGGAGATGACATTTGCCTTCAGTGGGCTTTCTTTTTTCCTGATCCATTTTCCTCATCTGGCTTACCAATTTCTTGTTTTTCCCCCTCTAGAGCATGTTCCCCTTCCTTCTCCCCACTCCTCCTCCTCCTGTGCTCATTACATCCATCATTATTTTGCCCCTCATTTCATAAATGTAAAAAAAAAGTTTGTTCCTTGCTCTGGACATTTAGATCTATTAGCCTGAAACTATGTATTTAGTATTTTGATGGAAAGTTAGCTCTTTTTTTGGGGGGTGAGGGGTGGGGGGGAGGTAATAGGAGAGGGTGGAGAAAAGATGTTTTGAAAAGGTAAAAAAAAGTAATCTAGAAAATATGTTTATCTATGACTTGGACTTTTTTCTTTTTTCTTACTAGTTTTGATTATGAAGATGCAGGTTACCAGACTGCAGAACTTGTAAAAATGGATATTCTATTGAACGGAAATATTGTAGAAGAGCTAGTAACTGTTGTACACAAGTAAGTTGAAAAAAAACTAATCATGGAATATGAAAGTAATCACTTTTGATAGGTTTGCCTGTAGTTATTGATTACTCATTTTTATTTGAGCAGCTTCATTTTAAAAACTTTTAAAGGTAATTAAAATGTTTCCCTCTACTAGCTTTTCACTCCATTCTTTTTCCACCCTTCTTTTTCCAAACTGTTAAAAATATAAAAGGAGAATAAATTATGACAGCCAAATAGACTAGTTATCATGTAAACAAATGTTTTCCTTACCATGTAAGACAAAAGGAAAATGTGTTTTAGACTTTATAATGATACAGTTTGGATTGAAAAGGTTTTTTTATATTCATAAAACATAATAATGAAAAATGAAATACCTACATTTTCAAGAAATGGGGGATTTATTAAAAATTATGGGGCACCCATTAGCCTATTATTTTAAATTATTAAAACTATATTGTGGAGTAACATTAAGTGACATAGAAAAATGTCTACATTAAATAAAACAGAATATCATATACATAATGATCCAAATTACAAAAATTAAATATAAATACATATGCTAGAAAATGACTAGAAGGATACATGTTTAAAATCATTGTTGTTACTTGCTGTATTGGCTGATTTTCTTAAGTAGATCAACAGGCCCTTCCTCCTGTAAAATGTTAACGGTGGTCTTCTCTAGATGACGGAATGGACATCAAGAATGGCTTTTATTTTGTAATGTATGTTTTTCTTTTCTAAATTTTCTGTACTGGATTTATATATCTTTCTTTACTCACTACATTCAATATAATTTTGTTTTTGTTTTATATGCACAATATTTTCTTAAAATAAATAACAAAAAGCTCTAGTTGAAATTGCATAATTCAGGGAATGGAAGAAATCTTGAAAACTTTCAGACTATATATAATTTTTGCAATTCAAAATCATACATGTTCCACTGAATAAGAGATGTTTGTGATAAATGAGTTCTATTTGAACTTCTTTAAGAAACCACTCTTACTTTGGGTATATATAGGGACTAAAAAGCTCCTTTAAATATTCTTATCTAGATTATGTAAGGAGTTGTATTTTTTCTCTCTCAGAGATAAAGCGCATTCTGTTGGCAAAGTCATATGTGAACGTCTAAAGGATTCTCTTCCCAGACAGCTGTTTGAAATAGCAATTCAAGCTGCTATTGGAAGTAAAATCATTGCAAGAGAAACGTGAGTTGAAATTTTTTTTTTGTTCCCAGGCTGGTTTTAGGAATGATACACCTAGAAAACCAAAGAAAACATAAAATAAGATTGCCCTAAGCTTATGTATAGAAGCTCTATAATGGAGCTTGTTGTTGTTGTTAGGTTCCATCAAGTCAGTTCTAACTCATGGCAACCCTGCGTACAACAGCGTAACATTGCCCAGTCCTACGCCATCCTCACAATCATTGCTATGTTTGAGCCCATTGTTGCAGCCACTGATCAGACAATGTTCCACTGCTGTTCATAAGGTTTTCCCTGGACAGGTTTTCCAGAAGTAGACTGCCAGGTCCTTCTTCCTAGTCTGTCTTAGTCTGGACACTCCACTGAAACCTGTCCACCATGGGTGACCCTACTGGTATTTGAAATACTGGTAGCATAGCTTCCAGCTTCACAACATGCAAACCACCATAGAACAAGAAACTAACAGACGAGTGGTGGATGATAGAGCTACCCGACTCTTAATTCCATTAATCTAATCGGTGACTGTCAACTTTACTTATATAAGACCATTGGATGATGTTACTTAGTTATTTGAAGAATTGCTTTTGTTTCTACTCATTTGATGTTACTGAATTTCCTGAGTAAGAGAAATTAATTAGTTATTTTTGTTAAGTTTTTGTTTTATTTCTTTAGGTAAATTAATTTATAAGCAAATTAGAACTGGAACTGAAAGGTTTTGGAGATACTCTTCCAAAAGACAGACTAAATTGTTTTTTTTTCTTTTTACCACTTCCCCAGAATCATTACCACTTCCCCAGAGCTAGGGAGGTTGTATTACCAGAAAGGTGTGAAAGGAATGCCAATATCATGTTAGTCTTTGCATACAATTATCATTTTTATATATGAGATATGTATGTTGGGATACATTTTATGCATGTATTTACAATAAATTTCATCTTCTAACACTATTTTGTTTCAGTTATTTTATGTTTCTTGAATACTCATAGATTAGGCAGAGTGGAATTGGTAACCAGGGAATATCCTGGAAGTGCAATTTAAAACAGTTAGCAGATAGTCATGCTAACACAAGTCTGTTGAGGTAGAGAATACTTCCAAGGAAAAGAGATATATTGTCCTATGGAATGCGTAAAAATTGAGCTATTTTCAAAAATTAGAGTGATTTTTAAATTTCTCAGAAACAAGTACAGAAATATTTATAAATATTATAACTGCATGGGTGGTTATATTCAAATTAGTTTCCCCTGCAATGAGTTTTATAAAAGTCTAAGTCTAGTAATGTTGTTTAAATTCCTAGCTACTCTTGACCCATATGCACTGAAGTTACTTAGTAGACGCACAATAATCATTTTTAATTAATTTTTTTAGAATAGTGGAAGTATTTTTAGGTTGAGCCAGAAATAGACTTCTATAGTTCTTGTCATCAGAAGTCACGCCATGCTCACATACGGCCATTCGAGCCTGACTACCACAATCCTTGACCTTTTTTCCTTAATAAAATTTATATAGATACTCAGGTTGAATTCATTTGCTATTTTATGCCAAGTACATGAAAGTAAATATAAGAGCATTTGAACTGTCTAATTTTGATTAAGCAATTTTACACTGGTATGACACTAACCTTAAAAACCTTCAGTAAAGGGAGATTGCTTTTGGAAATAAAGTACTTTTAAACAATATAATGAGGTTATATACTTACACAAAATTTTCTCTTTTACAGCGTGAAAGCCTATAGAAAAAATGTTTTGGCAAAATGTGTATGTATTTATTTTACTTTGTAATAATGTATGTACTTTATGAGCTTAAAACCAAAGGGGTACATATTTATTAGTTTTGATTATTTATTGGTATATTTTATAATACCCTTCATCTCCAGTTTTCTTTTTAAATGGGCAAATTTCAGCCTCACCGTGATAGCGTGTTCATTTGACCATATTCTTAAATTTGTTTTTAATCTTATTTATGAAAATTCCTTATGCACAATACTATCTAAGAAAGGATTATGTAAGTTATTTCTGTGATCAGGGTGATATGTTTAGTTGATTTAATTTATAATGAAAGATTTTGAAAATGATGGTTTTATCTTAGAGTGGGAAGAGTATGGGATTGAATTCACCTCTTCTACATTGCTTTGCTGAGTTTGCTGTCTTGTCTATATATCAAAAAAAAAAATTAAGTTATCAATGGGAATTAAATGATAAAGTGAATGCTTAACATAGCTGTCACATTTATGCTTATGTAAGAGTTTCCAGATTCCATTACAGCTATATACTTCAAAATTTCAAGCCTTGACTCAGTAAGGAGATTGACAATTCTTCCTGAACATACATAAGTAAAGTCTGCCTTTATCTTTCTTTGAGAAGTTAGTAAAATTAGAATTAAGTAGAAAGGGGATTTGATAGATAATATTGCAGATTTCTACCTTCTGGATATAGTTTATATAAGGCTGTTGTGATTGTATCAATGTTTCTATATGTAATTATATTTTTTGATGATATTTCTGGGGATTGATTTGGACTTTAAAAATATTTTACAGTATGGTGGTGATATTACCCGAAAAATGAAACTTTTGAGGAGACAAGCAGAAGGAAAGAAAAAACTGAGAAAAGTTGGCAACATTGAAGTTCCAAAAGATGCTTTTATAAAAGTTCTGAAAACACAACCTGATAAATGACTGGTAGGAAAATACAAAGAATTTTCCTAAGTCAAAATTTTTGTATCCTTCAATTTTTCTTAGTATTTATATTAACAAAGTGGAATTATAAAAATGTCCTCTCCTCTCAATAAAAATTTGCTTGTTACGTTCAGGGTTTTCAGGTTTAAATAACCTACTGGCTTTTCTTTGACAGGGACAAGTGTGGTAGATAAGAGCCTGGATTCTGAAGGCATATTGGCGTTGTCTCAAATTCCTATTCCACAACTCTACAGCGTTGTGACTTTGGCCAGGTTCTTACCCTCTCTTTGTCTGTTTCCTCTTTAATAAAATCCAGACAATACTACTATTTACCTCTATAAGGTTGTGAGGATTAAATGAGATAATACATTTAAAATATTCAGAAGAGTGCATGGCATCTAGTAAGTGCTCAGTGAATCTTGACTTTGTTTTATGCATATTTTTTCCTTACTTACACTAAAAGGCCCTGTACTTAAAATTTGTCTAGTTAAAGTGAGTTTCAAAATTACCTTAAGTTTCAAAGGGGTCTTAAAAGCTGGTGAGCAGCCATCTAAGAAGCAACTATTTGTTCCATCCTGTCTGGAGCAAAGGAGAACGAAGAAAATCAAAGACTCAAGGAAGCAATTACTCCAAAGGACTAATGGCCCACATGAACCACAGCCTTCTCCAACCTGAGACCAGAAGAACTTGATGGTGCTTGGCTACCACTACCAACCACTCTGACTGGGATCACAATAGAAGGTCCCAGTTAGAATGGGTATAAAATGCAGAACAAAATTCAAATTAAAAAAAGACTAGACTTACTGGTCTGAAAGAGACTAGAGGACCCCCTGAGACTTTTGTCCTAAGACAACCTTCTAACTTGAAACTACAGACACTTCCAGAGGCCACTTTTCAGCCAAATAATAGACAAGGCTTTAAAATAATAACATCTGTGAAGAATGGGCATCTTAGAACAATCAGCTATACAAGATGAAAAGGGCAACATTTGCCCAAAACCAAAGATGAGAAGACAGGGAGGGACAGTGAAACTGGACTTAATGGAAACGGGGAACCCAGGGAGGAAATGGGGAGAGTGCTGACACATTTTGGGGATTGCAATGAATGTCATGAAATAATCTGTTTAAGAATCATTGACTGGAAAAAGAAATTGCTATGTAAACTTTCACTTAAAGCAATTTAACGATAGATAAAATGTTAAAAAAAAAAAAACAGGAAGAAAAGCAAACCAAGCCATCTATAGTTACGGAATGTTTGACTGCCTATGCAGTCTATTTAAGAAACTGACTTAGCTAACTTCTCATTAAAATGTAGCTTATAGTCTTTTTGCTTAGTCTTTTGAAATCAGAATTCCCTGCATATTAAAATTTTAATAATAAAGTTATCTTAAGTTTCAGATTTGTTAGCTGGATCAATTTAGATATGCATGGATCAGTTATTAAATGAACCCAATAGCATTATCTAATCATTTAGTTTGGATAAAATTTTAATAAACTTTTATGAAAAGTTATCTTGAAACTACATGGTTTACCAAATACATAAATAAAAAGTTAGAATGAAGGCAGAGGCTTTCTTAATCATCTCTAATATTCAAAATGCATCCATATAGTTTGTACAAAGTAATAGGTATTTGGCATTAGCAGCAGCTGTAATGAGTTTAATAATTACTGTCTAGATTTATAATTTTGTCTTGGAAGAAATACAACTAGAATGCTCCTTAGAAGCAAGGATGGCGAGATTTATGTCTTACGTACTTTGGACATGTTGTCAGGAGGGATCAGTCCCTGGAGAAGGGCATCATGCTTGGTGAAGTAGAGGGTCAGTGAAAAAGACATCAACGAGATGGACTGACATAGTGGCTGCACCAGTGGGCTCAACATACTGATGTGAGCATGGTGCGGGACCAGGCAGTGTTTCGTTCTGTAGTACACAGGGTTGCTACGAGTTGGAACCAGCTCAACGGCACTTAACACCACCACAACAGATTTATAATTGAGGAGACTCAGGTTACAGAAGCAAGCAATAAATGGCTGTCTGGCTTCAAGCATGTGTTCTTAACTCCCATGCTTACTTCATCTGTGAACAAGCAAGTGCACAGATTATATTACAGTAAGGTAAGATAATGTTCTTTTTGAAGTCATGATAAGTGGAGAAAGGACTGAAGTTGTCAGGGGTTTCTTTTTTCCTTGGATCCACAATCAACACCCATGGAAGCAGCAGTCAAGAAATCAAAAGACATATTGCATTGGGCATATGTGCTGCGAAAGACCTCTTTAAAGTGTTGAAAAGCAAACATGTCACGTTGAGGACAAGGGTGTGCCTGACCTAAGCCAGGGTATTTTCAATCACCTCATATGCTGGTGAAGGCTGGACAATAAGTAAGGAAAAGACCGAAGAACTGATGCATTTGAATTGTGGTGTTGGTGAAGAATGTTGAACAGACCATGGACTGCCAAAACAAGCAAATCTGCCTTGGAAGAAGTACAGCCAGAATGCTTAGAAGCAAGGATGGCCAAGACTTTGTCTCACATACTTCAGACACATTACCAGGAGGGACCAGTCCCTGGAAAAGGACATCATGCTTGAGGATCAGTGAAAAAGAGTAAGACCCTCAACGAGATGGATTGACACAGTGGCTGCAGCAATGGGCTCAAACATGGCAACGCTGCAGGCAGTGTTTCGTTCTGTTGTACCTAAGGTCACTATGAGTTGGATAATTGACTCAAGGGCACCTAGCAACAACAGGCTAAAATAATTTTAGCATTGATTTTTGTCCTCTATTTTGAATGAAGTAAGTGTCTTTTAGGGATAAGAATATCGATGAATTTTATGCTAAGGTAATATAAAATCATTATAAATTAAGACAGTGGGAATTTACTTAAAATTGAGTATAGATGTTAAATAATTTGTGATTTAGTCCTAGCTGTATAAATTTAATGATGGTCCCTGGGATGTCACAAATACTTTGCACTTGTCCACCAACCTTTGAGGAATTCAAGTGGCACATTGGTGAAGAGGTCGGCTGTTAACCAAAAGGTTCACGGTTCCAGCCTACTAAATGGCTCCACAAGAGAAAGACCTGGCAGTCTGCTCCCATAAAGATTATAGCCTAAAAAATCCTATGGGGCAGTTCCAGTCTGTCATACAGGGTTACTGAGTAGAAAATCATTTCGAAGGCACGTAACAACCACTAACCAACTTTTGCCACTACTGAGCTCAACAGGCATTCCTTCATTTAATATACCTAACAACTGAAGTACGGTACTATTAACTTGTTTTAAAGGTGAGGAAGCTGAGGTCTACGTATTGTCCAATATCACAGTTCTTGACAGAGCTGGCATTCAAATAATGGTCTTTATCCAGACCCCCAACTATTAGCTTCCATGCTTTTAAAAATTGACTCCTATTAAATGTCTTTACTAGGCTTCTTAGTTCTGTTAAGAGCAGCTTAGCTCTTGGATTAGGGAACTAAAGTATCTAAAGTGTAGTTCGTTTAATGAGATTGAGTACATGGACCTCAACTAGACTAACAAGAAGGGTAATAGCAGAAAGGAGATCTTTTAGACTTCAACTATCACATTTAAAGCACAGAAATAACCAGTGAACCACGCACCCAAACAGGTACCTTTAGCTTTTTCACTATGAAACTATCTGATCTTCTAAGGTGGGGTACTTCGCAGTAACCAATGTATATTAGCAGAAGCGTGACTGGAAGATGCTGATTCACTAGTCATTTAAAAACCATTTATAATATAGCTATTACATCATCATCTGGAATTTAAATAAAGCAACGTATGTTACCGTGGGAGTTTTACTAGTTTTCATCTTATTTGCTGCTTAAATATTTCAAGAAACTTAATTGTAAATACATTTCAACCACAGGCAATTAAATAGATACACATGTAATTTTTTTTTCTACCAGATGGGCTTATAAGGTACAAAATATGCAAAGGAAAAGGAAGCAAGACTGAAAACTGGGTAGAGATACTGTCTTTTAATTTAAATCCCTTATTGCATGATGGCAACAAAGGGTAAATGCAGGTTCACAAGTACTATTAATCATTGTTAGGTGCCATCAAGTCAGTTCTGACTCATAGCAACCCTGTGTACCACAGAACGAAACAGTGCCTGGTCCTGCGCCATCCTCATGGTCGTTGTTATAGCCCATTGTTGCAGCCACTGTGTCAATTCATCTTGTTAAGGGTCTTCCTCTTTTTCGATGACCCTCTGCTATACCAAGTGTGATGTCCTTCTCCAGAGACTCATTAATCCCTCCTGATAACATGTCCAAGGTATGTGAGACAAAGTCTCGCCATCTTGCTTCTAAAGAGCATTCTGGCTGTACTTATTCCAAGACACATTTGTTCGTTCTTTTGGCAGTCCATGGTATATTCAATATTCTTCGCCAACACCATATTCAAAGGCATCAATTCTTCTTCAGTTTTCCTTATTCACTTCCAGCTTTCTCACATGCATATGAGGCAACTGAAAGCACCATGGCTTGGGTCAGGCACACCTTAGTCCTTAAAGTGACATCTTTGCCCAATGCGAATTGATCATTGGAATCTCTCAAATGCATGTATTCTTAAATTTCACTTCTGGAAATAAAATTTAGATACCTTATATTTGTTTTATTATAAGCTTTATTTGAGTTAAAGGTAGAAAACAATATACTTTATATTCAGGTTAATAATACAAGTTACTATGGCAATCTAAAATAGTTTACAGTAACTTAAACATATTATCCTTTTAGGCAATTTTGTATACAAGGAATAAAGCTAATAATTTATTAAGTTTAACAATAACCAGAAAAAGGAAATTATTTTGAGAAAAAAATTAAGTATGTGGATATAAAGCTCATAGTTGCCATGATAATTACTCAGGGCATGAAACCAAGCCATTAAATAAAAACATTTTTTTAAAAAGTGCTATAGAAGAAGGTGCACAAAAACATGCACTTTACATACGTTTTGAAAAGACGTAAACTATACTTTTAGGCACTGTAATCTCTTCAAATTTCCTTTACCAACAATATGTAGCAGGACTTTTGATGTCCAGATGCTACCGCAGAAAGATGACTAAGGCAACCACGTGCAGAAAAGCTTGTGTGTAATGCACAGAAAATATAGCATTCCAGAAGTGAAAGTTTGCAATGAAAGTTGTTTGATAACCTGAAAAGTCTGGAGTGTCTTCATGTAATAAAAATTAAAATCTATGTATATTACGCCATTGGAGTCATATTATGAAACAGTACTTGATAAGCAAAATCTTTACCTTTAATGACTTTTTTTTAAAAAACAGGTGGGCACTTCATTTCTGCATTGTTTTTACAAGCTGGCTAATAACTGATCAGTTGTGAGAGCCAACTACTTCTAAGCAAGCCCTAGTGTAAAATCAACACATTCTAAGTATGGAACGTTTAACATAGACATTGGACTTTTAAAGTGACAATCTTCAAAATTCCCCGTGTTCTATCATATTGCATAGCTGAAAATTCATTTACTACTTATAAAGTATTTTGTTCATTCAAGCAGAATTTTTGCTTCCAATCTCCTTCAATTTCCTTCTTTCATACTGTATAGTGGATCCACAAGTTTATTGTGCACATGCATTAAACCTTAAAGAAAGAAAGCACAGTACTATTTGTATGGTTAATTTTTAACTACATCTCATTTACTTTAGAAAGCTAAAGACTAAGATAGAACATCAGTCCCCATCTAATTAAAAATAGTCAAGTTTATTGAAAAATATAGAAATGTTTCTGTATGTTTAGTTTTAACTACCCACAAATATCAGTTTACAATTATTTATGAAACATAGTGAAGGTCTAGTTTAAGGTACTTTGGGAATAACTATAAGTAGGAGCAGTTCTTTTCTTCGAAGAGCTTCAGTATGACAACACATTTGAACAATGACACGGTTTTAATATATTTTAATTACATCTAAAATCTTGATTTTGATCTTCTGTGGTAGTTTCAAGGGGCTCAGAACTGCTGCTTTGCTACGACAGCTTTATTTCTCCAAGGTATTACCCTGTCTGTTCATCTGGCACATTCTTTTCCACTATTTTGACATGTGTGATAGAGGTGAGTGGACTACATCGAGGATGGTGTACTAAAACAATACAGAAGATAGCCTGTATTAAGCATTAATTTCCTAGATTTAAATTTTATAATTGGTATGCCTGTAAATCATTCTGTTCATTAAAGCTTTCTTGGGAAATACTGCCCAGTCCTTGTATGTCTTAATGCATAAGGAAAGATTACCTTTGACCCAATTAATGAACTAAATATTTTATATTTTGGAGATTAAAGAAATCAGTTAAATCTTCCAGGTTAAGAACCTGGAAAGGAAGTTACGCAGTTTTTTTTTCCAGGAAGTAAGATTAGACTGGGGAGACAGAGTACTTGTTAGTAACTAGAAGTTCTTTGTCAGGAAGGCTGCTAAAGCACTCAAACTCTAAACCTGAGGAAGACCTGCTTTTAGGGGATAAAGAAAGGAACATGCAAAGAGCACTACAAAGTTCCTCTAACAGGAGAAAAACCAGGAGAGGAAGCATCTTAAAAAGGGGGGAAGCATTCACTACTGCAACTAACACTGAGAGAGAATTCTACTCAACATTCTACTTCAATGTCTGATTGGTATCTCAAACTTAACTATGTCAAGACTTCTCCCTGTCCCCAAACCATTTCTTCAAAAATCTTGGTATATGGTGTCAGCCTTCACTGAGTTGCTAAAGCCACAAAGCTAAAATTCATTGTTGAGATTTTTTTTTCCCTCTCATTTAATTCAGCATGACCAGCTGGCTCTACCTTTGGGCACTACTTTCAATATTTATCTCAAACTGGCCACAGTTCTTCATCTCCTCTGCTACCACCCTAGTCCAAACCACTGTCATCACTAACCTGAGTATTCCTAACGCAATACTCTCTATTCCTAATTCTGCTTCCACCCTTTTTCCCCTGCCCCGTGATACAATTTCCATACAGCAGCCAACATGATGTTTTTAAAACCAGAAATTGGATTATGCCATTTCCCTACTTAAAATCCTCAAATTGCCTCTGGTCACTTAGAAAATAATAATCTATTTTTCTATTGCCTTTGTCCTCTGATCTGATCTCAGGTCCTCTCATTTTATCCCTTTCTTACTACACTATAATCTCTCTGGTTGTTTTGTTATCGGTTTCACTTTCTTTACAGTACTTTTCACTACCTGAAAATACGTTTTTCTATCATGTCTCCAGCTAGAAACTGAGGTCCAGGACCTTATTCACTGCCTCATGTCCTGTACCTGGCACATTTTAGGAGCTCAGTAAACTTTGTTGAAAGAAGTCTAAAGGTTCAGTGAGATGATGGTAGCTAGAGGGGAAGGTGTGAATGAGGAAATTTTGTTTTAATGAATCCAGAACATATATAGATAGTAAGGCAGCAGAAGAGAAGGAGAGGATGGAGACAGAAGAGGAAGATTCTATAGCTCATGATGCTTAAGGCAGGACAGTGGAGGGTAAGGGCATTGGTAGAATGACTGGCTAGATCTGAAAGGAAAGGACTGTGAGGATTAAGATAAATTTGGAAGCTTGGAGGTAGGATTGTGGAAGGACAGAAGTTAAGTCTCCCATGCAGCTGAAGAGAAAAAAGACAAAAGATTGAAGTGGGTAATGGGAAAAGTTTTAAAATAGTAAAACTCGGAGCAACAGCTGACCAGAAAAATTACAAAGACTTGTATAATACGTACCAAACTAAGCATAAAGTCACCGGATTTTAGTTCCACCTCTACCTTAGATGTATGATAGCCACTTAGCTACTTGGTACTAGGCATTTATCTCTAAAATGAAGTAATCTGCACTCAAAACTTCTGATTCTACAATTCAGAACAGAAAGAAACTTACTCAACATTGCATAATAGTCATCAGTCTCATATTAGTATTTGGCATATATCTCAGATAATGTAATCTCCAGTACTCTTCATGCAGAGCCGTCCCTGAGGCTAGATGTGAAAATATTCTCACTGGCATTTGTTCTTTGCTAAATATATATATATAAATATTTAAGAATCTTTTTCTCAGGGCTAATAAAGCCCTTCCCCCATACCCTTTTGCTGCTAGCTGCTAAAGTTAATTTGAAACCCTAATAGAGATAGCTCTTGGATGTTCCAGTACAAGGATTTTGAGGGAAGCCAGAGCAGAATAAATTCACAATCATTATGTCAGTGAACATTCTTTGTGTACTTCACGGAAGCTAGTTTTACACTACACTAGCTTATGAATATTTTGGCCTTGGCCTACATTCTAATGTATTTTTCAAGGTTAAAAAAAATCCAAAGTACCATCATCATTTAAAAAGTTAAAAATCACTCTATATTTAAACAGGACAAGAGTTAAACTTAACGTGCAGTAAAAAGATTATTACTACTGAGCTATCTCTGACTTTAACAGATGAAAATGAGAAGCTGTCTACCTAGCAGAAATTAGCAGCATCAACTTTTAACCTGGAGTCCAAGGATAACAGAACTAGAGAGTAAGTTCAAAATCTTCAAAATATATAAACTTATGTATACGCACATTTGTATTCACACGTGCATTTTTCTGAGGACAGCTAAATGCTACCCATCTTCCAGGGCTCTCAATCCCATTAGCTCAATTAAAGTTTTCTTCAACTACTCTCTAAATATGAATCTCTCCCTTATTTAATATCCTTTAGTCTTTATAGTTTGATTTATATAATTAAGCACTTAAATTGAAATATTCTGATAATTGTGTATTCACCAATCTATCTACTGCTCAACCACCCAAAATTTATCAATTGCCTCCAACGTGCCAGGCACACTTCTAGATGTTGAAATAACGTAGTTAACTAAAGTCCTGCCTCCATGGAGCGTTCATTTGAATGCAATATATTACATCTCATTTTCTCAAACTGCTAATAATAACTAGCCAACTCTTTACCAAGAATGTCAACTACTTCCAGGCAGGGATGTTTGTACTGCTTTTGACTCACACAATGTGAAACATACTTGAAAGCACTTTAATCCGTGCTTACTGACTGATGATTAACTGGAAAATATAATTTACATTTACCAAGAATATACATTAAGGGGTAATTTTTGGTAGTGCAAAAGAAATATCTGCTAATGAAAAAGAGTTACCAGATAATTTCTCCAAAGAGAACCACTCCCATTTAAAACAGGATTTAACTTAGAAAGTTAATTCATTTTCAACAACCACTATGTAAAAAGCAGTAAAATGGTGACTGGAGAGGGGGCATCAAGGATAATGGAAATTTCAACCATGCTATTTAAAAGATGTATCATCTTCTAGAGGAACCCTGGTGGCGCAGTGGTTAAAGCAACTGACTGCTAACAGAAAGGTTGGCAGTTTGAACCCACCAGCAGCTCCGTGGGAGAAAGATGCAGCAGTCTGCTTCTGTAGAGATTTACAGCCTTGGAAACCCTATGGGGTTGCTATGAGTCAGAACTGATTCAACGGCAGTGGGTTTCAGTGGGTATCATCTTCTACACGGCCAATTTCTTAGGAGATCATTTTTCTACTTGATATAACTCATGTATCATTTGCTAACCACTTTGATCATGGAAAGAATACATTAGAGCTTTTAAACACACACAACAACACTTGGATAAACATTAAAAATTCAACTTCTTTATAAAGTTTTTTTTTTTAATACACATTGGTCATAACTTTTATCCATAAAATAAAGCTGTTTTCAGCTAGAAATTATTTTGAAAATTCTATTAATTGCTTTTTAGATAATAAATCAAGGATTTACTAAGACAAAGTAAAAGTGACACAAGAATTTGATGAAAAATAATTGCTACTTATAAACAAATTATTTTAACGAGTAGTGATAAAAAATGCAAGACTTTGACATTTTGCCAGGAGATAAATACCACAGATTCTAAATGTCAGTGTCTTTACAAAGTAACTTTTTATGGTTTCAGCTCAGTTTTGAATTCATTCAACCTTGGTCTAGGTATTGGGGTGAGGCCTAAAAAGGATGATACACACACAAAAAAAGTTCACCACGATGATGCTGTCTTGAAAATATACTAACTCAAGGACACACAGCTTAAGTTCTATTTTAAAAGCAAAGACAAAAAAAAGCTAGAACTTGTAAAACAAATTCCCACGTATTAAACTTGTTTTCTTGTGATTTACTTACATCTTCAAAAGGTATATACTGAAACTTCCAGTTATCTTACTCAGGAAATAAATAACTAGACTCCTTTGTGATTCCTGTTGTCATTTTCAGTGACAGCAGAAGAAAGGGTAATGATCCGAATGGAATTTGAAAAATTACAGATGGCAACTACAGGGATCATTATCCTCAAGTACATCTTAAAGTTATGTAATAATAACTCAAAGAGGATATGGAAAATATATAAAACTATATTTGAAATATGTATAAGTTTATGATAGTCAATTACTTTACCCTATATCAAAATATCCTTTCTGTAAAATAAGGCCTACATATAGCCCAGAATATCTCAATTCCATTTTTCTCCATATTGAAGAAGGCATCATTACAGAAGCTGGTATCATGAAACCTTCAGAAATACTGACAGCTCCTGTGTGGAAAATACAGTGTCTTCAAAAAGGCAGTGAAGCAATCCTCTCAATAATCTTCACTTCAAAATGTTTCAAAAGAGCTTAGAATTTGGATAGATAGAACTGAAAGAACTAAATACATAAACATCTACTTCCCTTCTACACTTTAAATTATCTTTAACATATGTCTATAGGTTTTGGGAAACAATGATTATGGTATGAAATAAAAACACATCAAATAGATGGAAATATGATTTTGATTTGGATGCTGTCATAGCCAGAGTTTAATTCTTCTCTGGGAGGCAGTATAAAAGAGTGGTCAAAAGCCCAGACTTCAGACAAGCCTGTTTTCAATTACCCGGCTCTGCCCACATATGACCTATGTGACTTTTGATAAATGCCTTAACATCTCTATTAAGCCTGTTAACTCATCTGTAATAAGAGTACTCACTTTGTAGAATTGTGGGAATTAAGTCAATAGTGCCTAGCCACATAAGTATTGACTATTACTATTAAATTTCTTATTTACTTCACTATAATATAAAAATGTTCTGATAAAAATCAAACTGTGACAAAATCAGTCTACTACTAACTTTATCTGGGGATTACTGGTACTAGAAAATGGCCAAGTTAAATGAAGCTCCTTAAAACTGGTATTAAAATATATGGATAATAAGGATTCTTTATATTAACTTTTAAAAAGAATCGAATGTTTGTGATGAAATCTGAAGGACTGCATAGAAAAATATGAGAACTCTATCCATGAACTGTCTTACAACTTAATTACTTAAGTGCTCTTTGCCTCTATCTGTCAAATTACAAAGAAGCTAACAATTTAATCTGATACATTTGTGACTTGGTAAACTAGCAATTTAACTGATAAAAATATAAATGACTGGAAATAATCTAAGTGTTTAACAATAAAGAATTGTTTAAATAAATTATGATAATCTACTTGACTATTATGTAACCATTAACAATGCTTTTGAATATTTACTAAATATTTACTAAAATGCTCACAACATGTAAGTGACAATACAGGACAAAACTATATACACAGCATGATCAAAATTTTGTTTTAAAAATATGAAACTGTTTTCAGTGTTTGTCAAACTTCGATCATTTGTATTCTACCTTCAAGATTTTTGTCATATTCATTTATTTACATAAACTGAGTTAATGATTTTCTTTAAACTGACTTATAAAGTTTATATACTGTATTTCAGGAATATGAGATGCTGTAGACCATAAAGACACACTATTATTTTATGTACCACTAATAAAAAATGCTATCAGATAAGCTATATTACCAATTTTAAGACACATCTCAATTTCAGATAATATAAATGTGAAAAAAGATGCATTTAGAGGCAATAAAATATGGCAGCTATTTTAACCTTGTCCTAAGCAATGATACCATGAAATACAGGTTTGATTTGTTCCATACATTTTCCCTAACACATGTTAAAATAAATACCTAGTTACCTGGAGTAAAAAGTTTAAAAATATATATATTCATTCATGTAAAACCAGCAGTGCAACACACTTTGTGAATCACTGACTTACATGTATGGCCAAAAGGTTATGCAGTAGTTTTATATCATCTATATAAATACAGGTGCTTTATAAAGAGTACCTATATTTATAGCTTGTTTATATGTACATATGTATATGTATATATTAGTGGAGTTGACTCTTAAGAAATAGGTTTAAATTGAGGAAATAGGTTTAACAGTCAAAATTTCCCCTCACAATCTCTGAAATCACCCATTACAGCAATTATATGTGGTTTTATATACAGAACCTGCACAGTAAGGTTTGAGAATTACTGAAGTAAAGGAAGAAGCAAAAGGAAAATCTACATCAGCTGTCTGGATAATAAAACTATTGTTTCAGAAATAACCTGGATAACTACTCCATCTCTAGCTTGAAAAGGAGACATGCTGCTGCTTACTTGCAGAGTTCATTCCATGCTGCTTTAAGATTTAGTCATTAAAACCTGAACGTATGGAAATAAATTTGTCTGAAATCATGAGGATTAAATAAGCTAGTGGAAGACCCATCTTATCTACTTAGGTTCTAAACACAGCTTAAGGGGAGGGTGGGGTAGGTAAACAATGAAAAGAAAAACAGGGCATATATGTTCTTCTGCGTTTTTAAATCTTGCATATTCAATATGAAAGCAATAAATTTTACTAAATTGTGTATTTCAAGAAAAAGTGTATTTGCTAAAAATACAGACTGAAGAGATTCTCTTCATGAAAAAAATAAGAAACTACTCTGATGGCTACTATTATCCGAAGCTAGAAGTTTCTGTTCCTTGAAAACTGGCTACTGTGTCAGCACAATGCCAGTTTTCAATAGGCCACAGTGGAGGATGTAACTGCACAGTTGTATTTTATTATCTACAGTGGAACATTCTCATAGCCTGCTTTTCAAATTCAATGCTCACCTTTAAAGTATTTCACAGTTTTAACTCTTAATTCTAAAGTAGCATCTTCATCACATACAAAAATTGTTCGGGGATGCTGCTGGAAAGCTGAAACAGTCCACATGTGATTGACTCCTTCTTCTATTGCTTTGTACAGGGCAAATGCCTTGTGTGCACCTGTTATGAGGATCATTACCTGAAAAACCATGAGCATCACCTGTTAATAGTTAAAGCATGTTCCAATGACTAGGCAGCTCTCTCTCTGTCTATATATATGTTTATATATTATATATATATAAATATATATAAAATATGTTTTTGCTTTTTTTTTTTAAAACAAAGACTTTAGCACCGATATTCTTCTAAGGGTAAAATAGCTCCATGCTTATTCACAGTTCAAGGTATTTCTACTTCTTAATATAACAGGCAAGCACAAAATGTATCCCTTTTCCTAGTTTAAGAAACAAAATAACACCTTTCTAGGGGGCATTAGTGAATAGCTCATAATGCCTATGAGTACGCAGAAGACACAATGAAGGAAAAAAAAAAAAAGAGCTGTTTTCCAAAAGCAGAATTGCAAGTCGACAAGTAATTTATATAATTTAGAATGATACACCAAATTGCTTTAGTTTAGATAAGCAATAGATACTGCTTGTAAGAAAGCAAAACTGTTCAACATTTAAAGAGTAATCCTAAAGAAGTCTGAAGACTGCTTCATTGAATATAAGCTATTTAAAGCTGTCCTGGAACAAAATGATATAAAGATTAGGGATCTACTTGAAAATAAGAGATCATTTAAGCACATATGACTGAGAATATCCTTATAAACTCCAGAAAAATCTAAGCTCTTTGTTCCAATGTCTAATTACCTATAACATAATTCAAAGAATATGTGCAAATGTGAGAGTACATGTGTCAGAATGAATCTTCTCTTTATCACCTTTTAACAGTACACTGATTCCATTTTACCAACTCAACATATGCACACAAATTTATGTAATGTACTAAACCTTTAAATATGTTTTTCTCATCACAATTGGTAAGTAAAAAAATGAATGTTAAAATGGTTGTAATTCTAAAATATAACAACATAAAAGTTTTGTATTACATATTTTATAACTGTATTTTTTAACGGGAGAAATGAGTCAGGATATTATGTATTTCTTTTATCGAAATTCACTATGTGATTTTCATTTTGAAGTTACACCTTAACTAAAATCAAAGCCCATGAATGAATTAAGATATGTATGAATTTCAACTAATGTTTTTATTGATACTTCTTGTTCTTAATTATAGGGATCACGGCTCAGGGAAGAATACTCATTTATGAACGTGCTTATTATTTTTTTTGCCTGACATTATTAGCCAGTGTTCTTTTCTTAAGATTGATATATGTAACAGTAGTTTTCTTTTTAAATATGCAGGTTCTTGGCTCCATCCTAGCTCTTCTAATTCAGAACATGTGGAGTTAGAACCTAGGAATCAGAACCTTTACGGGATTATTATGCAGACAATCTTGCAAAAGTCCTTAGGCTAGCACCTGAAGAATCTCTATAAAGCTACTTTAACACACACTGCATTAAAGTAGGTATTAGAATATCTACTGATTACTGCATGAAAGATATTTTCTGAAGTTTATTTCAGGAGAATTTAAAAATATGATTTTGTAGTTCAAAAGTAAAACAGTAAATTAAGCGTTTTCCTTGAATTATCTCATTTAATCCTCAAAACAACATTACAAGATTAATACTATTCTTATTCCTACTTTACAGATAAACTGAGAACAAAGATTCCATAACTTGTTTGTATCATGGTTTTGTTAGTATATTATACTCCTTCAGAGACAGAGAAACTATTAAAAGGTCTACCAATTAGACAATATGAGCTAAGTCTTTCATTACTGAAGCAAACAGTATAAAAAGGTAATGAGAGTGGTGGCTACAATTCTCAACATTTAAGTGTATACTGAAAAGAAACAGTGAAAAAGACAACCAAACTTTTATTGATGAGAAAGGGAAAGTACCTACTGATGTTAGCAGCAGTATCATGAAGGGAATGGAAGGAAAGGAGGCTGATGGAAGCTTAGGGTTGGATAAAGAATTAGTTATTGGTGCTTTTTTATGGCTAGAGCATTGATACAACATATAATTGAAAATTAAGAAGAAATATCTGGAAAAGTAGAAATTGAAAAAAATTGCTATCAGAATATAATTTAACACTGATATGTGATTAGTTAGAATATACCTGCTCCACTATTCTCAAGCAGAGTATTTGTCATTTTAGGAAAATAGAGGACCTGTATTAGAATAATCTAGGCAAACTGCAAAATCGCCAAATTTAAAGAATCAATCTCTGGGTGTGGAGGCTCGTGTACAGTGTGTGATTCTTATGTACACTGATGTCTGACAACCAGTTTTAGGAGATATTGCAAGGATATAGTAGTTTCATGTTACTTAAAAAAATACATAAACATATAGCAATAATGCTATTTAAAAGGTTATGAAATAAGCTGATTTAAAAGTTAAAAGTCAACATTTAATCTATCACTCCAAAAACAAATAGATGTGAATAAATTACAAAAATCTATAACCTCATTTTTAGCCCTCAACATCGTTTCCTGCTATTTTCTATTTACCACTTTATAAATGAGGAAATATAGGTTTAGAAAGGTTGAGTGACTTACATAATGTCATAAAGCTAGCCAGTAGAGTATGCAGGATTTCTAAGCTTTTACCCATCACACAGCCTTAAGATGCCAAGAATGCCAGAAGAATAGACAGGTAAACAAATTAGTGTATAAAATATATACATTAAACAACATAATAAGACACAATGATGACATGAAGGTCCAACAGCTCTCTGGGAGAGTTGGGAAAAGCTTAGAGTACCTCCTATCTGAAGCCAAGTCTTAAGGATAAGCAGAAAAGTTCCAAAAAGGGAGCTTTTCAGACAGGTATGGGCTAGTCAATAAAAACCTAGAAGTTTGTTAATGTGGACCATACGGCACATGGAAGGAAATGGTCGGAAACTGTGGCTGAAGTCTGATAATACAGAGCCAAGCTAACAGGCGAGGGCTCATCTTGTGATGGGGAAACAGGGAATAAGAGGACCTTAATTATACAGATAAGTAATAAACTAAACCATATTTTTGAAAAAATAATCCAGACAGTAATATAGAGAATAGGATAGGTAAAGGATGGAGATAGTTGTTGATCTTTTTGGAATAGTAATAAAACTACTTAGAAGAATTTTCCAAAATGTGACTGTTACTGACATGGTAGCTTTTAAAAAAAAGGTCATGGAGAAAACTGTTCAAGAAGAGTATGCAGAATGAATACAAAATGGGGGGGTGAAACTCTACAGAACAATGGCATTCAAAAGACAGATGCAAGATGAGTTGGGGAAGCCGACTGAGAAGGAATGTTTAAAGAAAGAATAATAGTAGCATCTCATGAAGGGAGAAATGGTCAACATTAATCGATGAGGATGAGGCCCAGTAGGATAAGATATATGGAAAAGATGTTGGTTTTAGCAATTAGGAGGTCATTAGTGATCTTTGTGACTTTCAGTAAGGCAATAAAGTCAAAAGGAGGATTTTATTGATTTTTCCTTAAGTCACCATAAGAATAAATATCCAAATTAGTATAACTATAATAATTCTAAAGAAACTGCTGTAGTTAAAAACTGTTTTGTCTGTCTTTTGAAATTACTTTTCAAATACCATATTTTTATGCAAATAATGCACACCTGTGTTTGTTTGCCGCCCATGCCCTCCCACTGTGAGGCACCCTCACAAATGCTACCATGCCAGTCCTCTTCCACATGTTGCTGTAAAAAAAAAATTAGCATAGCATGCTTCTGAAAATACGGTGTGCAGAGAGGGCGAAGCTGGCTAATACAAAAAGTAAGCATTATTTGCATAATAATACGGTATATGGCAACATCTTTAAATATACCTGAGTAAAACAAAATTTAATGCTTTGAGGATAAATTTGGCTTTTGGAAAACTACCAAAAGTCAATAAAAATCAGTTCTGATGATTCAGGAAGATCACCAAGCTGTGGATATGACTAATTTCATCCAAAATGAATTATGAAAATATATAATTCATTCAAACAGTTCCCAAGTTATTGAATACCTATTATGCGACAGGCAGTGTTAGGTACTAGACACAGAAAAACAAGGCAGTCCTGTCAAAGTTCCAGCTCTTTCAGGTTTCACTGTATTTGTTTCAAAAGAATGCTGTGAAAACTCAAAGCAATATGATAGGCTATTGGGAAAATGACGAAATTCCATAGTATTTTTACACAGATAATGCACGTACTATATACATTTTTTTGCCTACCACACAACACCTCTGCGCATTATTTTCCTAAGCGCGCTATGCACATTATATGTGTGGGTGCGATATTTATGTGAATGCATTATTTGTGAAAAATATAGTAGTTTTGCCATGATGATTTTCTTTATGTTAGGGATAAATATTGTAAGGTAAAGGGCATCATATACTCTTGTTGAAAAAATTAATCAAAAGAAAAAAAATCAATATTTGAATAATTCTCTATTCATTCTAACAATTAGCATGTGGTTGCATTATAACTTAAATCTTGTTGAATACAAGAAACCTATTTGCATAACTTTCAGTTTCATATTTTAGAAATAAGAATGCTCTGAAATCTTTTTTCTAACTTACTTAGTATGAAACTTCAGTCCTTGAAAGATCTTTTTTTCATATTAAAAAAAACCAACAACAAACCATTGCCATCAAGTCGATTGCAACTCACAGTGACCCTACAGGACAGAGTATAACTGCCCCATAAGGTTTCCAAGGACTGGCTGGTGGGTTTGAACTGCCGACCTTTTGGCTAGCAGCCAAGTTCTTATTTTTTAGACAATAAGAAACTCCTATATTTTGAATGGCAGTTCTATTTGTATGCTCAAGTCTAGGTATATTTATGTCAAGATCAGTTTACCCTGTCCAATCCTGCTGCCAAAAAGGAATGGGATTCTGAGTTTCCATATAATTTAACCACTTATAATAATGGACTGGATATAACTGTTCTGTTATTCTCAGGGAAGGCAATAACACCCCAATTAAAACTTTAAAAATGAAGTAGGACATATTGTTCTGATCTTTATTCTTCTAAAATATACCAAATTTGGAATAAATCTTGCCTTAGATCAGTTCCTTTCTGCTGGAAACCAACTGGGCTCTTCACCTACAGTCAAGAAGCACTTCACACTGCATTATCCTGAGGGCTCCAACAGTAGTGTAACTAAATTGCATCTTTGTCCCAGCAGTCCTTTCATAAGACTATTTCACTTAAAAAAGAACCATCTGATCATTATGATGTCAAGACCTCAGTTCAAACTGTAAAGCAGGAATAGACAAATGAAGCAGTACCTCCAAAGAGGTGGTGCCTGATTATTAGTCTATAGATCCCAAAGACTTAATTTAGTTGAATCCTAAGGATGTCATTGAGACTGACAGAAGTTAGTTACTAAAAGCTGGAAAAGAATTTATATTATGAAAAGATGCAACCAAAATTATCACCTACTCAGCACCATAATCTCCCCAAAATATAAAAACATAAAAGGGAAAACATTAAAGAACATTTAATTCTTACTTCTCTAGCATCCATCACTGTCCCCACACCAACTGTTAGAGCCATAGTTGGCACTTTCGACAAATCTCCATCAAAATATTTAGCACTTGCCAAAATGGTGTCCATTGCTAGAGTCTTTAATCTTGTCCTTGATACTAAACTGGATCCTGGCTCATTGAAAGCGATATGACCATCTGGACCTATTCCTTTTAAAAGAAATACACATACACACAGGTATATATTAATAAGTAAATAAGGTTTCTCACATAAAGTAAGATTTCTCATAATTCAATGCGGTTTTAAGAGTAAAGAAATAATAATAAACATACTTACCTTGTTTTATTTTATAGCTGAATCCGTTCCTGTACCTGATTCAAGTATCTCAATATTTTCTACAGGCTTAGCATTGAGATAGCATGATTCTAACAATAGCAGTAAAATTAAGTATCACCTTACATTAGAATGGAAACCCTGGTAGCATATTGGTTAGGAGCCATGACTGCTAACCAAAAAGTCTGCAGTTCGAATCCACCAGGTGCTCCCTGGAAACCCTATGGGGCAGTTCTACTCTGTCCTATAAGGTCGCTAAGACTATGATTCAAGTATTTCAATATTTTCTATATGCAAAGCACTGAGCTAGCATGATTCTAACAATAGCAGTAAAATTAAGTATCATCTTACATTAGAATGGACACCCTGGTGGCATAGTGGTTAAGAACTATGGCTGCTAACCAAAAGGTTGGCAGTTCAAATCCACCAGACACCCCTTGGAAACCCTATAGGGCAATTCTACTCTGTCCCATAGGGTCACTATGAGTCGGAATCAACTCGACAGCAATGGGTTTGGTTTTCTTTTTTCTTACATTAGAATAACACTTTAGTTTATAAAGCACTTTCACATGTATCATCTCAACAACAGATATATCTAAGCATCTTGGGAGACAAATTAAGTATATTTACCCCTCTCAGCTCCCTTGCCTTTTTTTTATTTTAAACTCAAAAGGAAACTTTGATGCTCAAGGATAGTAAGTGACTTACTCAAGATCACAATTTTAGTAAATACTGAGATAGGACTCAAATTTAAGCCTTCTGATTCCCAACTCAGTGCTCTTCTACTCAGACTTATAACTCACTTGGTTCTAGTCCAGATAGGGTAATTAACTAGTGACCTGTCTGTATTACAGTTCCTCACTTATAAAAATGTATACATTGGACTAGATAACATAGATAACTAGAGTAGAGGGTTTTTTTAAAAAAAACTTTGTTGACTGTAACCTGTTATAAAAAATACATTTGACATTGCAATCTAGTACACATACACACACATCACACCCTTACACATATATAAATATAATTAAAACAAGAACTGCATGAAACAATACTTACACCCTTACAAGGAGCCACACAAGCTATTTTCTATTACATTCCATTTCATTAACAAAAAGGAAATGCTAGATGTGACTGACTATAGTTATTTCACGCTTTAATAATGGATGACAACCCACAATTTGAAAATCAATGCTTTAAAGAGACCTACTGCCAGCACTTTCACATGCATATGAGGCAACTGAAAACACCATGGCTTGGGTCAGGTGCACCTTAGTCCTCAAAGTGACATCTTTGCTTTTTAACACTTTATAAAGAGGTCTTTTACAGCAGATTTGCCCAGTGCTGTGCCTTGGTGTTTTCAATTGCCCCATATGCGTGCGAAAGCTGAACAATGAATAAAGAAGACCAAAGAAGAACTGATGCCTTTGAGTTGTGGTGATGGCAAAGAATATTGAATATACCATGGACTGCGAAAAGAATGAACAAGTCTGTCTTGGAAGAAGTACAGCCAGAATGCTCCTTAGAAGCGAAGATGACGAGATTTCAACTCACATATTCTGGACGTGTTATCAGGAAGAACCAGTCCCTGGAGAAGGACATAATGCTTGGTAAAGTGAAGGGTCAGTGAAAAAGACGAAGGCCCTCAAGGAGATGGACTGACACAGTGACTGCAACGATGAGTTCAAACATAGCAACAATCATGAGGATGGCACAAGACCGGGCAGTGTCTCATTCTGTTGTACATGCGATCGCTATGAGTCGGAAATGACTTGATGGCACCTAACAACAACAACTGCCAGCACTAATGTTCAGGACTGCTTCTAAAATACAGATAAGAATACAGCATTCCTCATTTGAAGTAAACAGGAAGTAAATCTTTTCATAAAGTCAAGAATCCTTCTATGACATAAATTAAATCAAGTTTTATATACGTTTCCTACTAGCCAATCAGCTATCTGGCAATCTCAATTAAAAAATAAGCCTACAAGTTCTCTGAGTCATTAAAAGGTCTATTACATTTATATTCTACATATTTGCTTTAATGATAAGTGTATTTTACTGACTCTTAAAAAAAAATTCTAACAAATTTTTCCCAAGTCACAACAACATAAAATATGACAAAGAGGAACTTGGTTTTGATGGAAGAGAAAAGAGAATGAAGTGTAGGTACAGATTACCAAAGCATAACAACCTAGGCATTTTCAATGTGGAGACATAAACCAGATCTACACGTATCTGATACACATGGATGTTTCTTTTCCACTACTATGTATTTGCTTGTAAGTTTTGAATGATAGATATGCATTTCTCTGTAAATTTGTAAAAGTGTTCTGTTTTTCCTCTTAAGTATACATCTATCCAAATATTTATATTTTTCTATATATGTATAGAAAGGAAAGGATAGAACTAGGAAAATAAAAGTTGCAGAAAAGATAGGAACCATACTAAGACCAACAGCAGTAGTCTCACAGAAGTGCACATACAGAAGTGCACAGCTAAGCTGATACTATGAGTGAAGGTTCATGATGGAGAAGGGTCAACACATTCCCATATTTGCCATGAGTAACTGTCAAAAATTGAAATTGCTTATATAAAACTATTTTTTAAATGTTCAGAATAGTTTACAAAGCTTTACAAAACTTTCTTAAAAATAATCATGTAACCTAAAACCCATGCTAACTCTTATTCAGCCTTCAAGTCTAAACTAAGATATCAGCACCTCCATGAAGCATCTCTAAAACCTCAGAGTTCGAGTTATACGTTGTCCTGTGTTGTTATAATTCTGTGGGATAGAATGTAAACTTCATGAGTAAGGGCTTTCTCTATCTTCTTCACTGCTGTATCCTTGTCATTTACAGTAGCATATAATACACAGGAGGCTCTCCATAAATAACAGTTGAATAAATAGATAGTTGCTTTTCTTTGGTGTACTTGGTATAGTTTCTCCCACTTCTGGCTTCTTCCTCTGCTCTGCTTCCCTTACCACAACGACTGCTGTTGTTAGGTACTATCAAGTCAATTCCAACTCATAGCGACCCTATGTACAACAGAACAAGGACCAGAACAATCGCAAAACCTTGCATCTCTCTTGGACAGAGTGATTGTGGCCTAGGGATAAGCACATGTCCCAAGCTGGACCAATCAGAATCTTTCTCTGGAGAATCTGAAACTTGACCAGGGATACAGAAAGAAAGAAAGCATCTAGAACTGAAGGATCTGATGATACTACTACAAGAGGTTAATGAGACCCTACTTCTGAGTTCTAAGGCTTCTTGGTTCTTATCCTTCTGAAGAATTGGTTATTTCAATTCCTCCTTCCATTCTGTGAGTCACCTCAGAATCATTCTAGTAAATTTGCTTTTGTTCCCTTATTAGTTTCTGTTACTTGTAAACCACAGAATCCAATCACATAACCAAACCAGAAGGCTGGTTTTCTTCACTGTCTTCTTATATTTAACTTTTTAACAAATAAATACCTAAAGATAATTTTAAAATTAATAATATCTTTAGATTCTATCTACAAAATTCTGTGTGTATATTGCATTGCTAGGGATGGGTCAGAGATTGCATTACAAGCCTTACTCATCACTTTTGCCATCAGAGGAAGAATGAGAACTTCTGAGAGTACATTTTTTCTCCTTTTTCTTTTGTATAGAGGGAAGCAAAATCTTGTTCCATTTCCCCTGAGTAAGCAATAGTAGGTTAACATTTTTGAACTCTTTCTTCCATTCTGTTCTTTCTAATTTAGAAGGGAGGGGTAGGAAACCCCATTGTGGCCTCAATCCCCACCTGCAATCTCGAATCCAACTTTACTTTTAATAAAGCTGGTATTTTGATCCCATTTGGTTCAGTTCTTAGTGTTTTTATTAAACAAACCCTGGAACACAAAAAGGGTAAGTAGTAAGATCCAGATATCAAGCCTCATCTTGACAACTCAATGATACCCCCACAAAAAAAACCAAACCCACTCCTGTTGAGTTGATTCCAACTCATAGCAATCCTACATGACAGAGAAGAACTGCCCTATGGGGTTTCCAAGACTGTAAATCTTTATGGAAGCAGACTGCCACATCTTTCTCCCTTGGAGCAGCTGGTGGATTCAAACTGCTGACCTTTCAGTTAACAGCCAATGCTTTAACCACTGCACAACCAGTGCTCCTGCAAACCTAAATCAACAAATGCAAAGAATCAAATGAGATTCTTGTATAAGGACACTTCCAAAAATAAGGTATTGCAATACCCAAACAGGAAAAAGTTCAGAGAAGACAATAAACTAACCATTCTCTCCCTACGTGCAAAGTGATTAGGTACACTAGAGTGGTAACTATAAAATTTCAGATCCTGGATCATCGCATGACTACTATGAAGATGCTAATGGAGGCGCCAAGGAAACTCTCTTAAAACTTTTTTTTTGGGGGGGGTGTTGGGGGGAACAACTATAGAAAAGTTAAAACAAAAATTTGTCTAAAAACAAAGTCACTTTCTTTGTAGTAGTAAGAGTCGGTAATAAGCATAAATAATTTTAATTTATACTCCATCTGCTTAAAAGGAAAACTGAAGTGGCTTATAGTAAGGAAATGTACAAAAAATTTTTAGCTAAAAAGAAATCAGAAATGACTTAAAGTTATGATGAAAGAAGAGAATTCTACCAGAAATCTTAAATAAGAGAGTTATAACCTTTAAGCATTGCATTAATCTACAAATGCTTTCTGGAAAGCAGATAAAAGAACAAACTGGAACTAGAGAGTTCCTATCAGTTTCTTTTGTTTTTCTTCTCCAGTGAAGTCTATTTCCTGGCACTGAAGTCCACAAGACAACTGCCCACGGAGCCTTACCTAAGGTCAACAAATTAAAGGGGAAAAAAAGTCCTCAACTGAAGAAGGGAAAAAAATCATGCAGCCATTTTTAATCATGAACCTCTAACAACTTATATATTTTTTTACATAATGGTAAATCAGTGAAAACATTTCTTGATATAACTAAGATAAACAGATCTAGGTATATGGTATTCCAGTCATTTTGGAATACAGTTTAGAAAATCTAATGAAAGGTTAGTACATTCCTTAAATGTTCTAAAACATCTATTGTCTTAGTCTTGATTTTGGCAGTTGCAAAATGGAAATTATCTCAAAATTGACTTATCTGGAGGGTATACGTTCTCTAGGAATACTCAAGCAATATTAGCAATTTTATTTAAAAAACACAGATAAACTTCTATTTTGAAAAGCAAGAGTCTAACTTGGATTCTTGCACAGATAAATAATCACCCCATCTACACAGGAAAATAAATGGCATTGGTTCTGTTAGGCAGGGATAAAAATTTCCTCAAAGAGAATATTTCAGTCTCACTGGAATGCCCTGAAAGGTAATTCAGTCAAAACCTCAACAGGAAATTCAATAAAATAAGGAAAAATTATTTCAGCATCTACAGTTCTAAGAGAAAGAGAAGACTGAACACTGCAAATGTATCTATTTCCAGTTATACTTAAGGAGTTAGTTGTGAGAAGCATTTTACATATATTACAGCTCAGTTAATTCTCACAATTCTGGAATGGTAAATATTACCTGTTTTACTGATGACTTAATTATATTAAACTTATTTTACAAGGCCATACAGACAGTAAGTAGCAGAAACAGGATGCAAATTTATGTCTGACTTTAAGGGCAAAAAATCACCTCAGCCATATGTGGCCACCTCAACCACAGATTAACTTCAGTACAGCTCTATGGAAGCTCTAATTCATGTAATTATGAGCAGTCTCCTAATAAATTCATTGTAAGACATAACCAGAAAACTTAAGTGTTAACTTAGGCTTTAGTATTTTTAGTTGAGAAGTAAAGGATGCACCAAAAACAATTTTGGTTTTGGCTTAGTTCATGTTATACTGTTCTGATGATAATTATAGCTACCTGTTCCAGCTGTTTCTATAGATGACAGGAAACCATATTGTCATTACAAGAGAAGAAACTTTTTCCTAGTTTCAATGGTAGATTATGTACCTAATTCATTTAAAATATAAATGTTCAATCAAGTTGTTTAGATACTTAAAATAGCCTCAAGTTTTTAATGTGTGTGGGTGTGTGCATATATATATGTAAAATACACATCTACACGATTCCGACTCCTGAAGACCTCGTGCGTGCACGGTAGAACTGCTCCATAGTGTTTTCAAAGCTGTGACCTTCAGGAAACAGACTGACGGGCCTGTTTTCTGAGGTGTTTCTGGGTGGTCCTAACCTTCTAGCTAGTAGGCAAGTGCTTAACTGTTTGTGCCACCCAGTGACCTTCATATATACACGTACATACATATTATTTGGAGCCCTGGTGGCACAGTGGTTAAGGGCTCGGCTACTAACCAAAAGGTCCACAGTTTGAATCCAGCAGCTGCTCCTTGGAAACCCTGTGGGGCAGTTCTACCCTGTCCTATAGAGTTGCTGTGAGTCGGAATCAACTCAACAGCAGTGGGTTACGCATAATTCACAAGTGGAATTTGGTCAATTAAACACTCATTCACTTTGGAATTTATGAAGACAATTATAATGGCTGCTAACCGAAAAGTTATAGATTCAAGTCTCCCCAGTGGCAGGCTGGAAGTAAGGCATGGTGATCTACTTAAAAAAAAATCAGCCATTGAAAATCCTATGGAACATAGTTCTATTCTGACACCATGAGTCAGAATGACTCCATGACAACTGGTTTAAAGGTTAATAATGAATACAAAGTTTTACATAATTCTTCACTGACTTCTCAGAGAGACGAAACAACTTAAGTGATCAGCACAGAAGTGTTAAAATCCACCTGTTCCTTAAGCAAACTTTTAGAGGTTCAACCCTGCACTTTGATAAGAAGAATAGTATCTTAGTTATCTAGTGCTGCTATAACAGAAATACCACAAGTGGATGGCTTTCACAAAGAAATTTATTCTATCACAGTCTAGGAGGCTAGAAGTCCAAATTCAGGGCACCAGCTCTAGGGGAAGGCTTTCTCTCTGTGTCAGTTCTGGGGGAAAGTCCTTGTCATCCATCTTCCCTGGTCAAGGAGATTCTCAGCGCAGGGACCCTGGGTCCAAAGGATGCGCTATTCTCCTGGCTCTTGTTTCTTGGTGGTATGAGGTCCCCATTTCTCTGCTCGCTTCTCTCTTTTATATCTCAAAAGAGGTTGACTTAAGACACAACTTAATCTTATAGACTGAGTCCTGCCTCATTAACATAATGACCACTAGTCCCACCTTATCAACATCGTAGACAGAATTTATAACACACAGGAAAATCCCATCAGATGACAAAACGGTAGACAATCACACAATACTGGGAATCATGGCCTAGCCAAGTTGACAGACGTTTTTGGTGGACACAATTCAATCCATGACAGATAGGTTGGAATTTTCAAAAAAAATATTAAAAGGATAAGATTATCATTGAGGAAAGGAAACAGATACTCTTTTTGAAAAGTGTGGTAAACTGTCAGTCCTAACAGGGTAAAATCAGAAGTTTAACAGAGATTGGGACCTACCTCCTAAGACATGATTTAAACAATTCCAACTGTTAAAATTTTAAGATTTTTTTTTTTTATTAAAATAAAGTAGAAATCAGTAGTTGAGTAAATAGGTATTATAAAGTCACAGATATTTTTTACATTACACAGTGATGCCTTTTTCTTTTAATTTTATAACACCTAATTCAAATATTAACAAACCACTGATTAATGACAAAATGTTTTACATACCTCCAACAAAAAGATCTATTCCTCCAGCTTCTTTAATTTTCTTTTCAAATGCATCACATTCTGCTTGCAAATCTGCAGCATTTCCATCAAGGATATGAGCATTATTAGGATCTATATCAATATGCTTAAAAAAGTTATTCCACATATAAGAATGATAGCTTTCAGGATGATTTCTGGGAAGTCCTAAATACGAAATTAATAAATAAAAATGTAACTATGTCCAGAAATAAATGTAAAGTTTATTTTTTCTGATTAAGCCATAAATGCTATTTAAATTATATGGCCTTTCTATACCATATTCAATTTAAAAACATTTTATGTGGAACATATGCTTATTATATGACAGGCATTATTTTGATTGCTTTACATGCGTGTATTAACTCTATTAATATGCACAACACCTATGGAAATACTATCATTATTCTCATTTTATAGATGAACAACTGACAACAGAGAAGTTTAATAACTTTCCCAAAGTCACAGAGCTCACAGAAAGGCTAGGATTCAAACACAGAAAGTCTAGTGCATGTACACTTACACACTCCACTCCACCTCTCAAACGCATAAAATATTAACTAGTGGAACTGATTGTGTTAAGCTCAACACAATTAGCCATTTAACTGAAATGTTGGCCTATATTTCTCCTCTACTCTTTCTACATGCATGCAAAATATACTGAATCACAACAGTTGTTTGGCTATCACTTATGCTATCACTGCCTATAAAGCATTTGTTGCTTAAAATATATTAGTACATTTTTACTTGCCAATAATCCTCCAGTACATGAACTGAAAATGCATTCCAAGTTTAAATTTTAACAGAGTTTCTATGCATTACAGCCCTTTCCAGTTAACCAAGTATTATATCAATAAACTAGAAAAGCTTCAGGGCTTTAATATTAACATTATATTTGAAAAAATATTTTACAACTTACTTTTACACACATTACTTAATTTATCCCCATAACAACACTGGTTTTAACCCTGCCTTAAGAAAAGAATTTTAAAAAAAAGTTACAGAATGAGAAATGTGATAGATTGGCTCAAAGTTACATGACCGATCAGTGGCAGAGCCCAAGATGAATACAGATCTTCTGATTTCTCTAGTCCAGCACTGCTTCCACTATACAGTGTTATCATCACAAAAATAAACCTTTATATAAACAACCTCATCACAAAGCAGTACATTGTATTAAAAATATAAAATATATGCAAGTAATATACTCAAATATAGCTTACCTACATATTCATCCATGTTAAAGGTCTTCACATATTTAAAAGAAAGGTCTCCATTCTTGTGATATTCTATTAGTTTTTTGTAACATCCTAAAGGTGTACTCCCTAAAACAGATAAAGATTTATTTCTAACATAACTTGAAAATCTATTTTTTAAAAAATTTTTAACTTTATTCTTTTATGATTTAACAATTATTCTATATTTCTAATTTATTAGGTAATTATTACCTTAAACACATATTTAATTAACAAATACGTTGAACAAATTAGTTTCTTTACAAGGTGCCATGAAATTTCAATCATATGATGTGCTAAAAAGTACTATTCATGGAAATCACCCAAGTTGAAAAAAAAAATATTACTTGTAGAATTTGCTGAATAAACCTGGAAATCACTAGAAATTATAGTGTGAAAACCTATTCTTGAATTGTTGAGTATTTGGAATTACTATTGCAAATTCCAAGATTAGAAACTTGTAAAGATATTTAAATTAAAAGGAAAACTAACATCCCACTTCTTGTGAAAAAAATCTTTTATTATTCAGAGAAGTTCTAGTATAAATCATACACAAATAGGTCAACTGCTGACCACTTAGTGAAATCAAAGGGGAAAACGGAGCCAAATTTAAATACTGTCCCTACTTTCAAAATAATTTTTTAAACTAGCAAGGATTGAGTAAAGAACTTCAGCTTTTATAGCTTTTTAAGTGGACCTCCTGTTCCTCATTTAGTATTCTCTTCAGCACATGTCCGCTAAAATGTGTAATGTAAAGTGAGAAAGAAAAGTTTAAGATAGAGGACTTCCAGGAAATAGTATCTTTGCTTTGGATGCTTCATGTGCTTTCTTAGTTTTATTGCTTATAATGTGATTCTTTTACATTTTTAAAAATTGATATTTCAAAAGAATTTTGTTTGGTGGTGGTTGTGTGATACGATAAAATAAATACAAATGAATTTAGCCATTTGGGAATAGTCTTTCTTCTTTGTTTCCCAAATCTGTTGTTTTTTTTCTTTTTTTATTTTATCTCCAAACTGGAAGGCTAGATTAACTGTATTCTTGTAACAAGCTAGCTACCTGGCCCTTCCAGTCCTGGCTGGAGTACTGATTCCTATTCCACCCACCATCATGGAGTGGGAGGGAGAACCTGCACAGAAAATTTCTACTCAAATAGCAGGCAGAAGTCTAATATAACTAAACTAAAAACCAAAACAAAACCGATTGCCCTTCAGTCGATTCTGACTCATGGTGACCCCATGTAGTCGCTGGCAAAAAAATACTAAGGAAGCTCAAGAGTAGTAAAAAGATAGTCTGCTATTTAAGATGACAGAGTAATAAAAGTGGCTATACTAAATACCACACAGATAGGTTCAGAGAATAGAAAAATATTTTAGAATTTCTTAAAGCTAAGCGTATATGTTGTTTTAAATTGAAATTAGTAATTTAAAACTTATATGGTCAAATTTTACAATTCCTTCTCAAAAAACTATAGCTCATTAACACAAAACTTGGCTAAAAAACAGGTAAACATGTTTTCCCTTCTTCCTCTTTAGAAGCATAAATGAATCTTACGTCTCTTATCTCTCAGAGTCAAGAGAATAATTACAGGATTCCCTCAATTTAAGGATGTGTGAATAAAAAGTGAGAAGCTGTCACAATGGTAATGACACTGCCTACTTTTTAATAAATGTGGCTGAAGGAAAACAAACAAAAAATTAAAAGTATGACACAGGGTGAACTGGTTAAAGAAATTTCATTTTAATAATTGTTTTGCAATACTTATGTACTAACATAACCAATATTTAGCAAGTCCTTACTATAGTTGAGATAAAGATTATTAAGACTGTTTCTGTCTTGGAAGAGCTCACAAAATAGGACTAAACAAGTATAAAATAACCAAGACAAAACGAAAAACACTGTAAATAATCTTAAAAAAAAGTCTGGAGTACTGCAATGAACCAAAGAAGAAAAATCTATTCAAGGAAAGATCAAAAAAGATGATTTTTCAACTGAGAACTGAAGAAGGGGTGGAATTCCAAAAGTCAAAGACAGGTAGGGTGTAATGGAAAACAGGGAAAGAGAGAAGGTCAGAGATGCTATCTGCATGCCTACTATGTGCTAGATGCTGTGCTGATGTTATATATGTTACCTCAGGCAAACCTTACAAACCTTGGTAGTCTCTCATTATCTTTCTCATTTTGAAGTGGAAAAATTGAGTCGAAAACATTAAGGAATTTATCAAATGTCACATGGAAGTTAAGCCAAGGATTCAAATCTAGAACTGAATGTTTCCAGAGCTCATATGTTGTGGTCAGGTGCCATCAAGATGGTTTCAACTCATAGCGGCCCTGTGTACAACAGAACGAAACACTGCCCTGTCCTGCATTGACTTCACAATCGTTATGGTTGAGCCTATTGTTGCAGCCACTGTGTCAATCCATCTCATTGGGGGTCTTCCTCTTTTTCGATGACCCTCGACTTTACTAAGCATGATGTCCTTCTCCAGGAACTGGTTCCTCTTGTTAACATGTTCAAAGTATGTGAGACCAAGTCTCGCCATCTTTGCTTCTAAGGAGCATTCTGGCTGTACTTCTTCCGAGACAAATTTGTTCCTTCTTTTGGCTGTCCATGGTATATTCAATATTCTTCGCCAACACCATATTCAAAGGCATCAATTCTTCTTCAGTCTTCCTTATTCATTGTCCACCTTTCACACAGATAAAAGGCTACTGAAAATACCATGGCTTGGGCCAGGCACACCTTAATCTTCAAGGCGACATCTTTGCTTTTTAACACTTTAAAGAGGTCTTTTGCAGCAGATTTGCCCAATGCAATGTGTTCTTTGATTTCCTGACTGCTGCTTCCACGGGTGTTGACTGTAGATTCAAGTAAAATGAATCCTTGACAACTTCAATCTTTTCTCCATTTATCATGATGTTCTTATTGGACCAGTTGTTGAGGATTTTTATGTTGAGGTGTAAACCATACTGAGGGCTGCAGTCTATATTTTCACTATATTATATGCTAGCAACATGTGTAAAAGTACAGAAGCCAGGAAGTTAATTTAATTTTCATTTATTTAACTTAAATAATTAATTAATTTAAGTTAACTTAATTTTTCAACTATAAGCAGTCCAATTTGCCTAGCATGATTGAGAGTAGGAGTGGTGGAAGGTATGGCTGAGAAGCAAGTCAGGCCTACAGCATGCAAGCCTTTAAATGTCAGGCTATTAAGATCACTTCAGTAGTATATATTGAGCAGACAGCCCCCAGAAATTGTGCTTGGTGGGGGGACAATTATAATACAGCATGTTATTTGCAATTACAGATATGTATGTTCACTAGTCAAAAGCAGTGGGTGAGGGGGTATAACCAACATTGTCAATGGTCCCCAAAGGAGACTAGTGAAAAATGTCAGCAAAGGTTTTCCAGAGATGACGCCTTGGCAGATGTATTACTAGGCAGTTAGGTTCTCCAAAATAAAGCATAAGTTATAGATCTAAATATACAAACATATGTTTAGCACTGCTAGCATTTATGACTCTGAAGCCCTTCTACCCACACACTCAGACTACTGTTTATTTCTGCATCATAATTAAGGCAAAGCAATTAGCTGCAACTATCCTGAGTATAACCCAAGTTTACAGTATGCAAATTTATACAAAAGCCATGTTCAACAACCAGAGCTCACATATCAGAACTGGGGATGGTAAGGGGGTATAGCACTAGTGTGCATAATTTTAAAAAATCCCCCTTTGCCATTCTCACCAAGATCTACTGTTCTGGAACAAAAAACACAACAAATAAAAAAGCAATTTCATGTGTCAAAAATTACTATTCATGGAAGTTACCCAAGTTGAAAAAAATTGTGACTTGTAGCTTGTATATAGTTGGCATGTATGGAAGGACAAGCAGGAGGAGAAAATAGTCTGTTGAAATAAAACACACCTATGGAAACCTAAAATTCATAAAGTATTTATTATATTCAAAGTATCATACACTAACTTATTTGAGCCTCAAAACAGCATTATAAACTATTACTTATTTTACAGGTATGGAATAAAATGTTTTGTTCTCACCAAGAAAGTAGCAGCTCTGATTCCAGGCCCAATATCATTTCCTGTGGAAGTCATAGGTCAACAATACCAAATAAAGGGCCATAAGATCAATCACACCACCTGGTTATTTTTTAAGGGAATCCTTAACAGAACTAAATCCAATAAAATATGTAATTAATGCTTATGTTTATTGTGTGGTAAAAATACACCAGTCTTCAAACGTTTCACTTGTAATACTTCTAGAATAGAAGGAAGATAAACACAGAGATAGTAAAGGGCTAATAAGAGAATATGAGGCCAAGGAGGTGAAATTAAGAAGCAATAATACATACTTTAGGTACCTCTTAACAATTAATAAGAAGGTTAATCTACTAACAAATTATATAAACAGGGAAAGTAATGCCCTAAAAGCAAACAAAGGAAAGATCACTAGAGAAAGCTACAAAGAACACTACGACAATCATTTTAGTTAGGATATTTCCTATCACATTTTGGAGTGGTAGGTGAGAAGAATCTTAACACAAGAAAATAGTTAACTAAATTTAGCTACTAAACATGTATTTATTTCTGATTTATTTTAATTATATACTAATATGGTCAATCAGTAATATAGCAAGAAGCACATGGGGAAACTATTTTACTAAGAGAAACCCTACAATCCCACCATCTTGACTATCTAAAATGGAAAAAGTGGTTTATTACCTGTTGGTAAACCCAGGGTAAAATATCTATCCTGTCCAGGCTTGAACTGAATGATGCGATTACAGATGTATTTGGCTGCCCATTCACTAGCCAAGTCATAGTTATCAAGAATTACAAGCCTCATTATGATGATACACAGCTTCCAGAACAAGAAGTTCAATCCTGAGAAAAGTCCATTGCAGAGCACTTTAAGTAATTTATATACAAACAAAAGTATAATATATAGACTTTAAAAAGGACACGCGTATATACAATCAGTCACATCTGCAAGTTTAAAACAGTAATAACAGTTGTTCTTTTCTGACCAGACTCTGGGTTCTGGGCAGTGGACTAGGCTGTGTAAATGCATATATTAATCTTTACAAAAATCTTGTGAAATAAATTTAACACTCAGTTTTAGTAGACGATGACAGGGACCCATGCAACTTTACTGAGGTCATGCTGGTAGTGCCAGAATTCAAAGCAAAGCAACTTAATTATAAAGATACCACACACATTGCCTCTACAGGGATAACATATCTTACTAAACCAACATAAAACCACCCTAATGGCAAACAAGTATTCATTTCCTGACTACAAATTTACGTTAGTAATGATTACTCAACAACTTTTGGGTTACTTACTAAAATCCAGAACTCTCCCTGTAAAGAATGTAATAACCAAATCTCCCTTTTGTTAAATAGCGTTTTTGTAAAATGCTATATATTCATTGTAAAAATCTCAATACAGAAATGTAAAAGGAATAAAATCAAACCAAATTCTATCACTCAGAAATACTTTTCATCTATGTATACATATAAGTAGGATACACAGAAATAATTTTATAACAATGAGATCATATTAGATATGCTATTTTTAATAAAAACAACATTTAATTTTACTTGAATGCAACAGCAGAAAAAGAAAAAAAAAAAATAAAGTGAACTAAAGAAACTGATGACCTCTGGGGAGAAAGGTTTTTTCACAATAAGCAGGTTTAGTTCCTAGAAGATTCCTCTAAAGTTAAGAAAAATTACAATACAAATATTAAGAGATCAGAGTCATTTTTAATGTAGGACTCCATTTTAGACAGTGTGGACTGACCACCATGAAAGGTATGAAAGTTAGCATTTTTATACTTCTTGGCACCTCCTGGTTTTTCTAAGATATAGCTGTTGTTGTTTTAGGTGCCGTCAAGTTGATTCCTACTCATAGTGACGCTATATGACAGAGTAGAACTGCTCCATAGGGCTTCCTAGACTGTAATCTTTATGCAAGCAGATCGCCAGGTCTTTTTTTCCCTCTGCAAGATATAGTATTTTTATATTATCAAGATTTATAGAATTTATATTGTGTTCTTAAACCCTAATCCCAAAATTTTAATTCTTCGTTTTCTATTTAAATGGATCAACCACCACCATCAATCCTTTTACATGGCTTCAGCATTCCTGAGTTATTTACCCACACACTTTACATAGAGTAATAAATCAAATTCTTTAAGTTGATGATGTAGGTCTTGTTGAAAAAGAATATATGGAGCCTAAATGATGTCTTTAAAAACATAATGATCTAGAATTCTGGAATAACAACAAAAGAATTACAGTCAGCATGAGCTAGAATTCTGGCACAGTAACGAGATCTACAGTATTTACTGATAATAATTTATATAATAAGTCATAAATTCAGTCCAACAAATGGACTCGGCATCCATTTAAATTCACCAATAATCTAATGTCAGAAGTAATTTTAAAAAGAATCAGGAATATTTGCTGACTGTTACGATCATCAAGAGATTTATTTGTTTCTAATAAGAATATTCAGTAAAACACTTATTAATAAAAACAAAAAAATTGAAAGATAAAGAGAAAGGACAGTAAAGCTTTCCAAGTGTCTTCTCTGCTATAGGCATTTACATGCTATCTTACTTAGGCCAGTTCAACACAGTTCTGCGGGCCTGTTAAACGCTAAGTACTATGCTAGGTTTTGTAGACATAAAAGGGCAAGAACATTAAAGGACTTAAATAAATTAATAGTTTCTGAGGTAGAAATTATCGTTCTCGTTTTTCAGATGAAAAAACTGAGACACTGAGAAGTTCACTGCCTATGCCCTAAAGCGATCAAGTGATGGAAGGAACTGGATTTTTAAAACTAAGTCTTTTGACTCAAAGACTCATGCCTCCAAGTGCCTTATCAGTAAGAATCGCTTAGGATGCTTATTGAAAATATAGATTCTCAGACCCCCCAACACTTCTGAAACAGGGTCCAGGGAATCCGTACTTTTACAAATATTACATGTGATTCTTTTAGTCAGATTAAATTTGGAAAAGAACAGGCATACTGACTTCCTTGCAAGGCGGTTAAAGCAGGTCTCCCAAACCAAGGTACAAGCAAGTGTTTTTTTTTTTTTTTTGAATTCTTAACAGGAGCAGAGTTCACCTCTAAAAGTCTGGATCACCTCACCCACAGGAAACTAAAATGTCTTCACCACATACATACATACATACCCACTGCCATCCAACTCATACAAACAAACGTGCCTTTTCCGCTTTTTCCAATCCTCAACGATCCAAACTGCTGTGGCCCAGGGCAATTCTCTGGCATCACAACCAGATAAAACTCAAAACCTGACCCAGCACCGCCCCTTTCCTCGTCTTTCCTCCGGTGCTGATTCATTCTGGATAAGCCTCACTTGGGGACAGGGCAGCTTAAGGCAAGTCTCAGAACTTGAGAGCCAGATGGGAACTCATACACCATTCCGGTTACGCACCTAGTTAACTGTAGGGCCAGAGCTAGAACCTGGCCTTCCACAATCCCCGCTGAGCTTTTCCCCTATGCCATGTTGCAGCTAACTTGAAAAGGTCTCTGAAGCCCCGACCATCAAGGGAGCGCGCAGGGCAGGGGTGGCCTGGCCACGCGTGTTCGTGACAGATCCCGATGAGTCGAGAAGCAGCAGGGAGGTCGGCTGTCCCTGCCCGGAAGGCAGAGGATGCCGACCCACTTCAACTGGGGGGCTGCTGGGCCCAGTCCCTCCGAAAACTATAATGAATGCAAATGAGAGGATGACTGTTACGAACTTCTAACAAGTGTGGGGAGAGGTGTCAGGAGAAAGCCGCCAGAGAGGAGGGGGCAGGGAGACCCAATTCCGGGCTTGGGGGGAAAGGCCGGGAGAGCCACTCTCCTCCGCCTCGAGGTGCTCGGGACTCGAATCCGCCCCGGACCCCGAATCCGCCCCGGGCCCCGTCTCCGCACAAAGCACACTTGAGGGGACAACAGCCACGCCAGGGGCAATCGCCTGATTTCCCATTTCCGTGCTGCCATCCTAGACTCACCCTCTGACCCACCGGCTCTTCCGAAGCTGGAGCTGCGGAAATAATCAACGTCCAACAACCAACCAGCAACCGCCGCCGGCGCGGGAACACGGCGCCCAAGGACCCGGATGGAGTCCGACGCACAGGAAAGGACGGAGGGGCGGCCTACGGACACTGCGCATGCGCGTTGCGTCTTCCTAGTCTTGAGCACTGCTACACAGGGTCGGTAAGAGTTCCTTGGAGCCGGAAGCCTTTCCAGCCTGGGAGTCTCCAGTTTCTGGTGCATCGCCTTGCTGCTACACTTTTTTCATCTCACAAAGATTAAATAGCCATAGATTGTTAAAGTTTAGTAGATTTAGCATGTAGGCCTGCAGTGCCCATACACAAGCATTACTTTCGTTGTTGCTTATAATGGCAATATGAATCCATCTATCTCTTTACCCCAAACTATTGAACGTAGACTTTGCAAGCACAATGACATCTAAGCAACTTGTATCAATAAAGCTCATCAAAGAAAGTTAAATTTATTAACTTTAGGCAACCGTGTCTTGTGGGGAAACTTGGAGCACCTAACTGAGGTAGCACTTAGGGGCTTTTTCTTTTTATGGGGAATGGTCTTAAGCTGAATGATTCAAAGAAAGGGGTAGAAGAGGTAGAAATCTGCTTTGATTTGAGTATCACAGAAATTTGTACAGAAGGTGGAAGGACAGAAGCAGGTCTGGGGAAATTGTTGTTAAGTGTCAATTCTGACTCTATAGCGACCCCATGTACAACAGAAGGAAACACTGCCCCTTCCTGCGCCATCCTCACAATCTTTGCTATGGTTGAGACCATGATGCAGCCACTAGGTCAACCCATCTTTCTGAGGGTCTTTTTCTTTTTCGCTCATCCTCTATTTTACCTTGCATGATGTCCTTCTCCAGGGACTGGTCCCTCCTGATAACATGTCCAAAGTATGTGAGATGAAGCCCTGCCATCCTTGCTTTTAAGGAGCATTCTGGCTCTAATTTTTCCAAAACAGATTTGTTTGTTCTTCTGGCGGTCCACAGTACATTCAATGTTCTTTGCCAACACCATAATTCAAAGGCATCAATTTTTCTTCAGACTTCCTTATTCGTTGTCCAGCTTTCATATGCATATGAGACCACTGAAAATACCATGGCTTGGGTCAGGTGCACCTTAGTCTTTAAAGTGACATCTCTACTTTTTAACACGTTAAAGAGATCTTTTGCAGCAGATTTTCCCAATGCAATACATCGTTTGATTTCTTGACTGCTATTTCCATGGGCATTGATTGTGGAACCAAGTAAAATGAAATCCTTTACAACTTCAGTCTTTTTTCTGTTTAATACAACATTGCTTATTGGTCCAGTTGTGAGGATTTTTGTTTTCTTTATGTAGAGGTGTAATCAATACTGAAGGCTGTACTCTTCTATCTTCATCAGTAAGTCCTTCAAGTCCTCTTCACTTTCAGCAAGCAAGGTTTTATCATCTGAATTATCTCAAGTTGTAAAGGAGTCTTCCTCCAATCCTGATGCCTCCTTCTTCACAGAGACGAGCTTCTCAGATTATTTGCTAAGCATACAGATTGAATAAGTATGGTGAAAGGATACAACCCTGACACACACCTTTCCTGACTTTAAACCACACAGTATCCCCTTGTTATGTTGAAACAACTGCCTCTTGATCTATGTACAGGTTCCTCATGAGCACAGTTAAGTGTTCTGGAATTCCTATTCTTCGTAGTGTTACCCATAATTCATTATGATCCACACAGTCGAATGCCTTTCCATAGTCAATAAAACACAGGTAAATGTCTTTCTGGTATTCTCTGCATTCAGCCAGGATCCATCTGACATCAGCAATGATATCCCTCCTGAATCCAGCTTGAATTTCTGGCAGTTCCCCATCGATGTACTGCTGCAAATGTTTCTGAATTGTCTTCAGCAAAATTTGACTGTGTGTGATATTAATGACATGGTTCGATAATTTCTGCATTCTGTTGGGTCATCATTCTTTGGAATGGGCACAAATATGGATCTCTTCCAGTTGGTTGGCCAGATAGCCGTCCTCCAAATTTCTTGCCATAGACTAGTGAGTGCTTCCAGATTCGCATCCATTTGTTGAAACATCTCAATTGGTATTCTAGCAATTACTGGAGCCTTGTTTTCCACCAATGTCTTCAGTGCAGCTTGGATTTCTTCCTTCAATACCATTGGTTCAAATTATTATTGAGAAAGCAGCAGTCACTTAAAAGGAAAAGGGTTGAATTGTGTGCCTTTGGCCATGTCCCATTAGAAACTTTGTTTAAGATGCTGTTAGGAAATACATAATCTGATTACCCCCATGAGATGAGAAGTAGACTCAAGGTCTTGCTTCTCAGATTTTGCAAAGTTAAGATAAATGTGAATTATTTTGTCCCCAAATCCCTTACATGAAGGCCAGCACCTGGTTGTAAATCCAGGCTACAGCTCTGGATGGAATGAATTCCCTGAATCTTTCAGGTAAAAGGGAATATTCCATTCTCACTTACATTACTTCAAACAGCAAGGTATTTCATAGCCTATGATATTAGACTGGCATGTGTCTGTCAATTTGTCATATTGTAGGGCCTTGTGTGTTGCTGTGATGCTGGAGACTATGCCACCAGTATTCAGATACCAGCAGGGTCACTTATGGAAGACAAGTTTCAGCTTAGCTTCCAGACTAAGACAGACTGGGAAGAACGACCCGGCAGTCTACTTCTGAAAAGAATTAGCCAGTGAAAACCTTATTAATAGTGGCAGAACATTGTCTGATATAGTGCTGGATGATGAGCTCCCCCAGGTTGGAAGGCACTCAAAAGACGACAGGGAAAGAGCTGTCTCCTCAAAGTTGACTCAACCTTAAAGAAATGGATGGAGTCAAACTTTCGAGACCTTTCTTTGCAGATGTGGCATGACTGAAAATGAGAATAAACAGCTGCAAACATCCTTTAATAATTTGAACATGGAATGTATGAAGTATGTGTCTAGGAAAATTGTAAATCTTCAAAAATGAAATGGAACACATAAATATCGATATCCTAGGCATTAGTGAGCTGAAATTGACTGGTATTGGGCATTTTGAATCAGACTGTCAAACAGTCGACTATGTCTACAACTTGAAGAGGAATGACATTGCATTCATCTTCAAAAAGAACATTTCAAGATCTACCCTGAAGTACAACACTGTCAGTGATAGGATAATATCCATATGCCTACAAGACCAGTTAATATGACCATTATTCAAATTTACCCACCAACCACCAAAGCCAAAGATGAAGAAATTGAAGATTTTTACCAGCTTCTGCAGTCTGAAATTGATCAAATATGCAACCAGGATACATTGATAATTACTGGTGATTGTAATGCGAAAGTTGGAAGCAAAGAAGGATTGGTAGTTGGAATATATGGCCTTGGTGATAGAAACGATGCTGGAGATTACATGATAGAATTTTGCAAGACCAGCGACTTCTTCATTGCAAATACCTTTTCCAACAATATAAATGGTGACTATACACGTGGACCTCGCCAGCTGGAAAACACAGTAATCTAATCAACTACATCTGTGGAAAGAAACGATAGAAAAGTTCAATATCATCATTCAGAACAAGGCCAGAGGCTGACTGTGGAACAGACCATCAATTGCTCCTATGCAAGTTCAAGTTGAAGCTGAAGAAAATTAGAACAAGTCCATGGCAGTCAAAGTATAACCTTGAGTGTATCCCACCTGAATTTAGAGACCATCTCAAGAATAGATTTGATGCAACGAACACACAAAGAACAGACGAGTTGTGGAATGACATCAAGGACATTATACGTGAAGAAAGCAAGAGGTTGTTAAAAAGATAGGAAAAAAAGACGAAAATGGATGTCAGAAGAGACTGTGAAACTTGCTCATGAATGTCAAGTAGCTAAAGAAAAAGGGAGAAATGATGAAGTAAAAGAACTGAACAGAAGATCTGAAAGGGCGACTTGAGAAGATAAAGTATTATAATGACATGTGAAAAGAGCTGGAGATAAAAAACCAAAAGGGAAGAACACCCTTGGCATTTATCAAGCTAAACTGAAGAAAAAATTCAAGCCTTGAGTTACAATAGTGAAGGATTCTATGGGGAAAATATTAAATGATGCAGGAAGCATCAAAGGAGGATGGAAGGAACACAGAGTCATTATACCAAAAAGAATTGGTCAACATTCAACCATTTCAAGAGGTAGCATATGCTCAGGAACCGATGGCACTGAATGAAGAAATCCAAGCTGCACCAAAGGCATTGGGGAAAAACAAGGCTCCAGGAACTGATGGAATAGCAATTGAGATGTTTCAACAAATGGATGCAGCCCTGGAAGTGCTCACTTGTCTATGCCAAGAAATTTGGAAGACAGCTACCTGGCCAACCGACTGGAAGAGATCCATATTTATGCCTATTCCCAAGAAAGGTGATCCAACTGAATGCAGAAATTATCAAACAATATCATTAATATCGCATGCAAGTAAAATTTTGCTGAAGATCATTCAAAAGCGTCTGCAGCAGTATATTGGCATGGAAGCGCCAGAAATTCAGGCTGGATTCATAAGAGGACATGGAACCAGGGATATCATTGCTGATCTCAGATGGATCCTGGCTGAAAGCAGAGAATACCAGAAAGATGTTTACCTATATTTTATTGACTATGCAAACACACTCGACTGTGTGGATCATAAGAAATTACAGATAACATTGTGAAGAATGGGAATTCCAGAACACTAAATTATGCTCATGGGGAACCTGTACATAGATCAAGAGACATTTGTTCCAACATAACAGGGAGATACTGTGTGGTTTGAAGTCAGGAAAGGTATGCATCAGAGTTGTATAGTTTCACAATACTTAATCAATCTGTATGCTGAGCAAATAATCTGAGAAGCTGGACTCTATGAAGAAGAAGGAGGCATCAAGATGGGAGGAAGACTAATTAACAACCTGCGTTATGCAGATGACACAACCTTGCTTGCTGGAAGTGAAGAGGACTTGAAGCACTTACTGATGAAGATCAAAGACTACAGCCTTTAGTATGGATT